AAGATGTACAGCCGTATACATTGCTGGTACAGTAGCTTCCCATACATAATTGTAAAGCTCAAATAATAACGTGGCTATATGTGAAAAATAATAGACAAATAATATATACGTTTGAATAGAAGTAATAATAAACTATTTTTTTATATATATTTTTAGGACATTATAATACTCCCAATATTTAATATGTATTTTTATTGTATTGTGGATTATATGTGTAACATATGTGCACTGAATTTGTAAATACCTTCTTTTTTTTTTTTTTTTTAAACATCGTGAAACATATTAATTGAATAGTTTTGTGAAAAACCGCAAAATGCCCCTCAATTGCACTATATCTGCTTAAATTCTAATTTTATATATATGTATATTTTTTATGAGTTTAAAATATGTTTTCCATATTTGATACCCCCTTTCTCTTTCCAAATCTCTAATTATGTTCCGTTTTTTACCAGTTATTTAATACTCGTTATGTGACAATATGAACTCAGACGGAATCCCTATTGGGGAATTTTGAACTGTCTAAACCTGTTAGAACTACAGAGAAGAGGTTTTCGGGTAATGTAGTTCAGACGGCGAACCGGAAGTGACGTTACAGTTGAGAGACCGGAAGTGACGAAACGGCAATCAGAGCCGCAACAGACATCAGCTGCTATCCCCACCTCTCCAATGAGTGATTGGAGGAATAGAGAAGAGGCGGGAAAACACATTATCTTAAAAACCAGACAGTAAGAAAATAACAGAATGCCAATTGAAAACGCCGACATCGAAGGCGAAACGCGTCTTGGTACAGCAGGAGAGGAAGAAACATATACTGTATTTATTTCTTTTATTAGTATTTTAATAATTTTAAATCATTTCTATTTTAAATATCTTTAATAAATATTTTTTCGAATATACTTACCTCTGCCTTGCACCTTTAGATCCGGTTAAGGTTAGTGTCACCCCTAATAATAGACACATACACCAGTAATACTTAGAGACACTTCTTAAAAGGCTCTTAAAAAGGTGAGCACCTTTTTCTGTATATATATTGCACTGTGCACTAAGGGTATAACAATCTGCACCCAGAAGTTATTTTTTCCTGTTTATCTCTTTTGGAGATCGATTTTGGTTGAAAGGAAGAGAAAAGAACAAACTACACCAATACGGTACTGCTGCCTACCTTAAAGGCACGGATGCAAAAGTGTTTAGAGCCTATACCCATATAAAAGGCTCTATAAAATGTGAGTTTACCTGTACATATTCCAATCTAAACTCAGTGTATAGTCATACAATATTACTCTATGTGCCTTTCTGTTTTTTTTTTCTTGCATATATACCTCTTGCCTTTACCCTGAGTGGTAAGTGTATGTTTATATATTTGAGCACTTTGGAATTACACCTATAGCGCTACACTCTTACCAAGTCGTGGGAAAGTTTTTACACTGACCCACTCGTGGTTACTTGTTTGTTTTTTGCATGTTGAGAGTGGGTTTTGGAGTACCCTTTGAGTGTTTTATAGCAGCTTAACGAAATTATTTCTTATTATACAAAAAAGCGCCACTAATTTCCACACTTTTTTTTTCTGTGTTTTTCCAAATAATATAAACTGTAAATCATAATGAACAAGACCTTATGTGGTTATAGTTCTGCGAGTCCGTGGTTTGTCACCGAAGAGTGTGCATGTCATGAGTGGGTGATTAGGCAATAGCAGTAGCTCTTGTCTCCCCGGGGGTATGCCCATCGCATGGTTTTCAACATAGGTCACGCCACCTCTCCCAAGTGATGTTAAACTGACGTTTCTTATGGGCCATATGTAGGGACATTTGTTCGTATTAAGAGTTTCGTTGAATTTTGTATTTTAATTGGGAAGGCAGGGGACAAACTGCAGATTTCCATTTGGATGCTATCAGATTGAGAGCAGTTAACAATATTAGGGCCTCTAGTAACCTGTGTGGGAAGAGCAAGAAGAGGCACGTAGGGGGATTCAGAGGAAGATCTTCGATGCCTAAGGACGTAAGTAGTATATGGACATCTTTCCAAAGTGGTTGAACTCCACCACATAACTACCACATGTGTAGCATTGTGCCCGTTTCAGTGCCGCATCAACGGGCAAGATGAGAGAGGCATTTGGATATGTTTTGTGCAGCTTATATGGCGTTAAGTACCACCTGTAAATTAGCTTCCTATGAGCTTCAATATGTGTAAAATCTATATGTCCATATAGATAATTTGTTTAGAATTTTGAGCCATTCTGGGTCAGAAAAGTTTTGGTTACACTCTTCTTCCCATTGTGTTTCGAAGGTTGGCTTATAGTCTGGTAAAAATCACAACTACGCTTTATAGGATAAGGAAAGGTTTTATAGGTGCTTTCTAGCATCTATCTAAAATTTAAAGTGGTGCAAGTAGGTCCTTAACTACAGGGTGTGAGCTTGGTCTGGCATGTGAGGTAAGTACACTCTTAATTTGCAGAAAAGAAAATGTTTCATGATCTGGGATATCATATCAGTTTTGTAGTGATGAAAAGAACAACAGCATCATCATAAAAACCACTGATCTGCGAAGAACCCATTACTTTTTAGGAACAACCTAGGTTTCCTGCCTAACTAGCATTGAATTGTAGTTCACAACAGAAATTAAAGGAACACTAACATTAGGAATACAAACATATATTCCTAATGCTAGAGCAAGCTATGGGAAATTTAGATTATTGCACCTTGAAGGTCCATGAGAACTGAGTTGAGGACCGCTGCCTTTAACACAAGAACCACTACATTAAGCTGTAGTTTAAACTGTAGTGGTCCTGGTGACTATAGTGTCCCTTTAATAAGACTTCTATCTGTCATCCATCAATCAATGCTACGGAATAGACTCCTGTTATAAGGAATTAAGTTACAGGTCCCCCCATAAAAAAAATGCATCTCACCTGTTTCTCTTAACCTCAGTTTTGAATTTCATGCCCCCTTTTGTGTAGCCTATCCCATCTTTTGATTGTCTTACCAGCTTTAGTGTATCTTATCTCCCATTTTCCTTTGCTTGTCTTACCCCCCTTTGTGTATCTTTTAATTCATCCCAGCACTTTTTTGTGCCTTTTCCCCTTCCTCCAGCTCCTCTGTATGTCTTTTCCCCCAGTCCCTTTTGTGTGTCTTTCTCCCCCAAGTGTCTTTCTCTCCTCTTTCATGTCTCTTAGCTCCACCCCTTTGTCTCTTTCTCCCCTTCTACAGCCAGCCCTTCTGTGTCTTTTTCAGTACAGCCCCTCTGTGTGTCTCTTGTTTGCCTTCCTCAGACCCTCTATGTGTCTCTTGTTCCCCTTTCCCAGCCCCTCAGTGAGTCTCTTGTTCAACTTCCTCAGCCCCTGTGTTTGTCTCGTTTGCCTTCCTAGCCCCTCTGTGTGTCTTTTTCCTACCCAGCCCAACTCTTTTCCCCCAAGCACCTTTGTTTGTCTCTCTCTCACCCTTCATATCTCTTTCTTTCTCCATGTGTCTCATTCCCTCAACCCCTCCATGTGTCTCTCTCCCCCCCAGCTCCTCTATGTCTCAATTCCCCCCTCAGCTCCTCCATGTATCTCATTCACTCCCCAGCCCCTTCATGTGTCTCATTCACCACTCAGCCCCTGAATATGTCTCATTCCCCCACCCATCAATGTATCCCCCCACAGTCCCTCCATGTTTCTCATTCTCCCATAGCCCCTCTATATATCTCACTTCCTCCCCCAAGCCCTTTTATGTGTTTCATTCCCCCAAGCCTCTCCTTGTGTCTTATTCCATACCAAGTCCCTCCATTTTCTCCCCCTCTCCCCTACTGTGCCTGCTGCCCTTCTTGTACTGTGGCTAAGCAGTGGACCGTGGTGGAGGAGCTTCTGCAGGAGACAATTCGGTACTCACTGAGAGCTTTTCCTGTCAGGCTGGGTAGAGAAACAGAAGCTCCTCTACAGCAGTCTGCTTCATTACGCTACATGCAGTGACTGGCAGGAGGGGAGCGCTTCTCTACTTCCGGTCACCTGGCGATTGCACCCCCCGGGCAGGTGCGCCCTAGGCGGCCACATACCCGCCTTGAAGATTTGCCAGCCCACTATGAAATTTCCCAGTGTCCCGGTGGACATATTTTTTTAAGAGATGCATTAGATTAATGCAGTGGTTTCTAAACCAGTTCTCCTGGTCCACCAACAATCCAGGCTTTATGTATTTCCCTTTTTATTGAGGTGGAGATACTGACAAAACCTGGACTTTTGGTGGGTCTTGAGGATTGGTTTGGGAACCACTGGATTAATGTGTCTTTATGCTGAGCATTCAGTGTTACTCAGCTAAGTTTTACAGCCAGAAGGTGTTCTCAGGGAAAAACGTAAGCTCTGCCTTTTCTCAGAAAAGGCAGTGTTTACAACTATAGGACTGCAGGGACATGAACTTTGTACTAGAAACAGTTGTAGTAGTTCTGGTACTTAGCGTGTACCTATTAGAACTGGATTTAATTATGCTTCCATGTGAGACTGATAATAACATCAAGGAAGGAGGATCAGACCTGCAGCAAGAAGACTCTCTCTTGAATTTTATTTTTTTGATGCCAAAATAAAGGTCCAGTAATCTAAAAACATTCAAGAGCACATCCTATATCAGGGGTAGGCAAAGTTCAGCACTCCCGATGTTGTGGACTACATTGTCCTTGATGCTTTGCCAGGAGCATTGTGGGAGATGTAGTCCACAATATTTGGAGGGCCTACCTCTGTCATTTATCTGGATTGCTTTTTTTAAAAATGTTTCAACTAGTAGGCAGGGAGCCAACCTTATCCCTTATAATGGGTGTATCATTACTTGTTATTAAGTTTTGATAATTGAGGTAGTTATGAAACTCTGACTGTGTTTAGAGTATTTAATTTCAACTGTTGAGTCTGAGAATGATGGAGTTGACTATTTATAATTTGACCCTTACATAGGATTTATACACCTCAAATCTTACGCAGGTCTATCAGCAATGAATGGAGATCGCCCAGTCTATTTCCTGTGGTACATGCATGTTCCACTGTCCTGGAAGTGATATGTACATACATGGCGTGGAGAAAACCACAAACAGCTAAACATATACATTTCAAGCATCTAATAAGCAGTACATAAAAACAAATGCTGAAATGATTTTTGTAGCATGTTGCACTATCCTGTAAGATTCATCTGGTTTTCTTCGTAGTCTTAGTTGTTTAAAGCGCTGTTTTTTTCCCCCCTCCCTTCAAACTGTTTAATCGTTTCCATGGTTATATTCATTAAAGTAAGAATTCAAAATTAATTTCAAATTTAAGGTCAAAGTAGCCAAACTGGAAAAATTCTATAAGACACCTATCCTTTCAGGGCAGCTACTCTGGCCTTAAATGTGAAATTCTGTTTGAATTCACATTGAATGCGCCCATAAGTGAATAACCCTGCAGCTGTTTTCTGAGTCTGCTTCACCTCTCCAGACAGGATGAATAATGATACATTTGGGACACAAATCACAAGTCATCTTGTGAATGCCTGATAATTAAAATATACAACTTTACAAATTTGAACCAATCGAGTTATAAAGTTAAAGGGATTCTCTAGTGCCTGGAAAACAAACCCGTTTACCTGACACTGTAGAACCTTGGAGTGCACCCAAGTTAATGGTGTGACACACAGGGATGGGGGGGTTAATGATGGTGATCCCCTGCCTGTCACTCCACAACCACCCGATCCCTAGTGTGTCACCCCATTAACTCCCCAATCCCCAGTGTGTCACCCCCTATCCCCTGTGTGTCACACCATTAACCCCCCCATCCCCAGTGTATAACCCACATTAACCCAACCATCCCCTGTGTGTCACCCACATTAACCCCCCATCTCCTGTGTGTCACCCACCCCCATAAACCCCCCATGCCCAGTATATAACCCCCATTAACCTCCCCATCCCTAGTGTGTCACCCCATAACCCTGCATCTCCCCTATTTCAAGTGTTAGTACACAGTGAAACCTGTTGTATAGAAATCTGATTGATGTACCGCACGCATGCGCAGTACACCAGTCAGATTTCTCTCTGGATTAGAGGCCCAGCTGATCGGACATCAGCTGAGCCTCCTGCAGAATTCTATCAGAATTCTGTACCCTGAGATCATTCACATGCAGCTGATCTCACGTCACTTCTGGTGACGCGGGTGCACCGGGATTGACGTCCATATAGAAATCTGATAAGTATACGTCCATATAGAAATCTGATAAGTATACATCCATCAGATATAGAATGGTTAATGGGGGTTATTTACTGGGGATGGGGGGATAATGTTGTGACACAGGGGATGGCGGGGATAACGGGGTGACAGAGGATGTGGGGTTGTGCAGTGACAACATCATTAAACCCTCCATCCCTGTGTGTCACACCATTAACCCCCCATCCCCAGTGTAAACCCCCCCATCCCGTGTGTCACAACATTATCCCCCCATCCCAAGTATATAACCCCCATTAACCTCCTCATCCCTAGTGTGTCACCCCCCATAATCCTGCATCTCAGCTATTTCCACTGTGTTAGTACACAGTGAAAGTTGTAGGATAGAAATCTGATTGATGTACTACGCGCATGCGCAGTACACCCATCAGATTTCTATATTTGATGGATGTGCCGAGCATGCGCAGTACACCCGTCAGATTAGAGGACCAGCTGATCCCACGTCTTCAGAGGCGGCGCGCAGCTGATCTCACATCACTTCCAGTGACTCAGGCGCACTGAAAGTGACGTCCGTATAGAAATCTGGTAAGTATACTTATCTGATAGAACACTGGCCCTCCCGGGTCATGTGATCGCAATGATGTCTCAATCACATAGATGGAATAGCCGTCCTGAGCAGTGCCTGCAGGGGGCCTGTCTGGAATGACAGGCAGTTCCCCCAGTGCAAGTAAGAAAGTTTATTAAACTTTTAAACAGTTAGTAGACAGGCCAGCCTACTGATTTGGTAGTTTACACTAAGGCGGTGGAGTTGTCAGAACTCCACTTCCCCTGGTGCCTGAGGTATGTGTCTGACTGCTCCCTCTCAGGTCCCCAGCACTAGCTGCTACTGCTTTGGGGACATGTCAAACTAATTTTGGGTACAAGGCGGCAGGCACGGCTGTAAGATGAAGTGCCTACTGCCGATCTGCTTTTCTGTGCACTCCCCGCCGGCTCCCTTCTGCGCTGCCTGAATGTGGATTGTTTTAAGGCAGGTAAAGCTTCACATATTGGGTGCCTGCCTTAACAAGCTCTAGAGTCATTCAGGCAGCGGGCGGGAGCAAGTCAAGGAGCGCACAGAGAGGCAGATAGGCGTCAGGCACTTTGTTACAGTAGTGCCTGCCGCCAGAGACAAAGACTAAGGAACGAAATGATGCGTGGCTGGCGGGGCAAAAAGAATGCTTCCTGCCAGCTCACTCCCTCATAATACAGACAGGTACTGCACAGGCAGCTGTGCCTGACCCACGGCCCCCCTCACCCCCCCAATATTCAGGCAGACACCGCACGGACCGCTGTGCTGGTTACTCATCTCCCCAAGGTTCCCCTGTAATACAGGTGCCTGTCATTTGGCACCCAGTTCCCTCCTCTGTTAGGTGCCTGCCACATGGCATCTCTCATACCTGGTTTAGAGGCAGGCACTGCATTGACATTGGTGCCTGCGACTTGGTTCCCCAGCTCCCCACTGCACACCACTGTAACTGCCAGTGTCTGTCAATAAAGCAGCCTGGCCACTGCACAGGCTGCTCATTTATTTATTTAATGTTTTTTTGTTTTTCATTTTATTATAAAATGTTCTCCTGAGTAATCTCATCAGGAGAATATTTTATAACTCAAAATAGAATTTCTCTAACAAAAAAAATTAGATCTAGCATTTTACTGTAACATTATTTTTTAAAGTAATCCTTTGGCGACATCTTGTGGTTAAATTCTGCATTACACCTGTAATTTGAATTTAGCCTTGAAATGATCAACTTATTTAAAGGACCACTCCACACTTACAACCCCCCCAGTTTAGTAGTTACACCCCCAACAAATACATGCATGTATATTTTTATGTATGTAATCATTGGGAGTACAGTCTAAAACAGCTTACAAAAGCAGAAGTTCTTATGACTGCAGTCTTTGTAAGCCCTCCCCTTTTTCACAGGAAGTAACTTTCATAGAGAAGCCTCTGTTTCTATTCTCCCTGTCTTTTCAATTCCTTGAGTCAGTGTGTTTTGTTTTGTTTTTTCCCCAATTTGTGTTACAATTTTGAAGCACAAGATCGTTTTAAATTGAAGGCGCACGAGTGAGCATTCAATGCAAAACAGGCTTTGTATTTTCGTGTGTTTTCAGAGTCTGGCAGGAGACATAGACTCTATCAATCTATCTATATATGCACACATATCCCTGTACCTATGTATGATAATCATTCTATCAATACAAATCTATAGCTATGAATGAATGAATGATGTTCATTTATACAGCTATAGATCAGTAGAACTTGAAAGAGTGAGAAAGGTCACTGCATTTTCAGTCTCTCAGTCTGTTACCTACACCTGATTTATAGTATACTATAATAAAAATAATAATACAAATTTGTAGTTATTTGTATATAAACCATAATTATATCAAATGTTATTTTAATAAAATTACACTATTTTAAAATATAAACCTATACTGTGTTATATTGAATTATTCTCTAATACTCATATAATAATAATTGAAAATGTAGTCAAATTAATTATAAGTACAATATAAACTAAAATAGTTACAATTAATCATATATAAATAAAATACATTGAACAAATATTTAATAAAAAAATATATAGTTACAATTAATCAGATGCAATGCCTCTCGCACAGGAGATGACAATACTAAAAAACGAAATAGAGCTAACGGAAGTAGGAAGTGAATATCCACAGCTGTTTGATTGGCACTTTTATAAATGAAACTTTTAAAGGGATAATCTATAGCCATACATGCATTTCAGCAAGCTGTAGTGCTGTATGGGTCTGGAGTGGTCCTTTAACACATTAATATAATCTGTCCATATGGTTTATTCCCTATATAATGGATCGTTCTCATATTTTGGAGGTAACAGAGCCATATAGACATATTCCTATTCATCATTAAAAACATTTAGTCAAATCCACGAGTCCAATCTGGCGCCCCACCAACTTAAAATGTCACCAGCCACTGCCAATGAACAGTTTAGGGTATATGAAGGTGATGTACACTACATTTAAGAATATGCATAGATGTAAAATTAACACCGCTTCACCAATGTAACACATACCATTCATCCTTTAATAAGGTAAAATTGTGCAACATGCCACATGGAAGTTGCCAGGACCACGCAAGACATCAAGTATTCTCCCAGCTTCTGTGGAAACATAGCACAGCAAAGGAGGACTCCAATATCCAATACAGCATGGTGTCATTGTAACTGATAATTCTTTGTATATTGTAGGACCGTTAAGGTTTTGCTGACTTACGATCATAGGAAGTGTTGTTTAGAAACAGGCAATATTACCCATCCCTTTCATACTCTAGTCTAGTAAGTGAAAGGCACAATAGACACATTGATACAGTCATTATGACCAATTCATTTCCCCCCATACATTCCTCTTAGAGGAAACATTAATTAAATAAACAGCATATGTGAATGCTAGAATGCTTAGAGCAGTCCTTTTCTAAATCGCAACACAGTCAGGTGTTCCCTGCCCGCTTGTCTGGAGAGCATCTTGGAGCCTGTTAGTTTGTAGGTCTTCATTAGATCAATAATTTCATCTGCAAATAAACAAGGGGAGAAATCTAAATTGAAAGACACTCAATAAATAATCTTGGTGGAGAGGTGTAGTAATGCACATACCCTAACCGATCATAGTTGTTATTTTTCATGGTTAACCTATAATCCAACAGTATGGTGTCACTAATTATAACAAACCACAAAAAAATGGAACACACAGTAGTAAGAGAGAGTGGACAGATGACCTCCAGAATGTTAAATATGGATATGAAATAAATCACATATTCAATACATTCAAACATAAAACTAATATGTATCATTTTAATATGCTGAGTCTCCAAAATGCAGGTTATAACTTGTTATGCTAGTACTACTCTCTACTCAAAAATAAATATCATTAAGAATCTTAGCCAAGACTTTATCCATATAACCACCACATGGCAGAATGTGTTACTTGGAAACACCGAAAACAACAGTCGCACTGCTCAATTCTCTGCCATTTAAGCGTTAAGTCACTTTTGTTTCTGTCCATGCAGCCCTAGTTACACCTGCCATGGTACATAAAAAGTAGTTTTTTTCCCAATCAAATGTTAACTTGCTTTAGAAATATTGATCTCTTTTGTAAACTGAAATTTACTCAGACACAGAGTCTAGAAGGCTATTAACAGAGCAGGAGATACAAAATTCTACATTAAACAGAATGTGCAATAAATTAAGTTTAAACATTAGATGTCTCTCTACAGGAAGTGTTTAGGAAAGCTGTGTAAATCCCATGCAGGGAGATGTGACTAGGGCTGCATATCCAGGGCCGGCGCTACCTATAGGCAGACTAGGCAGTGGCCTAGGGCGCTCTGTGAGAGGGGGCGCCCGCAGGGGCTGTTATACTGTCTGAATCTTTCATGAGAGTATGCTGGCAGTGTTTACTCACGGAGAACACAAAGACCCTGCCTCCGCCTGTGATAGAGCCGCTGGAGCCATCCCCCTCACTGCTTCTGCCCTCCTTCTTGTAAATCAGGCAAATAAAATGCTTTCATCAAAGCATAGGGGTTCCGACCATAACCCCGACTCTGCCCACCTACAAACAATTAACCCCGCCTCTCCCGCAACTAACCCGCTTTTCCCTGCCCCAAACTCTGCCCCCTGCCTGCCTCTCCAGCCTCCTCCCAAGTCCCTGCCTTCAGAAATCCTTTGAGGAGGCGGCCAGTGGGAGGGAGAAGCTTCCTGTGCTGCTCCCCCTGTCCTGTTCCTGGTGGGAGAGATCACAGAAAGACTGGAAGCATGCCACAGAAAAGGTACCACACTGACTGTGCTGCTTCCAGTTACCCTAGCCCCCACCTGAGTATGTGAGGGATGATGGAGGGAAGCTTGTTGTGTGTGTATGTATCAGGCAGTGTGTGTGTGTGTATATTAGGCAGTGTGTGTGTGTATGTATCAGGCAGCATGTGTGTGTGTATGTATCAGGCAGCGTGTGTGTGTGTGTGTATCAGGAAGTGTCTGTGTGTATTAGGCTGTGTGTGTGTATGCATGTATTAGGAAGTGTGTGTATGTATGTGTATTAGACAGTGTCTGTGTGCCTTTTTGAGTGTGTGTGTGTGTGTGTGTGTGTGTGTGAATTAGGCACTACTGTGTCTACACTTGTGTGTCTCTACTGGACAGTTTGTGTATGCATGAAGCAGTTTATGTATGTATTACCTGTATGTAATATCATATATTGCACAGTTTGTACCAGGGATGTGGAATGTATGCCCCCTAGCGGTTTTTTAAAACTCTTTTAGGGCTGCCTTGGAGGTGTTGGTGCCAAGCATGGAGTCTACCTCAGGGAAGCAAAGGGATAGTATAAATGGGCCTGGCTGCAGCATCCACTCCTCTCAGTGCTCAAGACTCATGGCCGCCGGGATTCAGCGTGACGTCATACACAGCATGTGAAAGGCTGCTGCAGGTATTCTGTACTGTGTGTGACTGTCAGAGAATGTGTAGTTTGTGTGTGTATGGGTCAGTGTGTGCCAGTGTGCAGTGTGTTTGTGTATGGGTCAGTGTGCAGTATGTTTGTGCATGGCTCAGTGTTAGTGTTCAGTGTATGTGTGTGTGTATGGGTCAGTGTGCAGTGTGTGTGTGTGTGTGTATGTGAGTATGAGTCAGTTTTAGGGAGTGTCAGTGTGTAGTGTGTGTGTGTGTATGGGTCAGTGTTGGTGAGTGTCAGTGTGCTTCTGTATGGGTCAGTGTTAGTGTGCAGTGTGGGTCAGTGTTAGTGAGTGTCAGTGTGTTTGTTTATGGGTCAGTGTTAGTGTGCAGAGTATATCTGTATGGGTCAATGTGTTTATGTATGAGTCATTGTTTTTGTGAATGGGTCCACTTTAGTCCATTTAACAAGTAGAAAAAAAACAAAAACATACCCCTGTATGTATCTATAAAGCAGTTTGTGTGTGTTTGTATTAGGCCACATGTGAGTGTATATATTAAGCAGTGTGTGAGTATGAGACAGTTTGTGTTTTGGTGTATGTATTACATGTATGTATCAATCATATATTTTAATGTACTTATTAGGCAGTATGTATCCATAAAGCAGTTTGTGTATGCATTAGTATGCATGTGTGTATACGTATTAGAAAGAGTTTGTGAATATGATGCAGTTTTTATGTTTTGGTGTATGTATGTATTCATATGTTTCTGTGTGCATGTATTTGTAATTTTGTTTGCATGTATGTATAAGGCACTTTGTGTGTGTGTGTGTGTATGTATGTGTGTGTATTAGGCAGTGTGTGTTTATATGTATTAAGCTGTTTTTTTGAGGGTGTGTGTATGTATAAGGCAGTTTGCTAAGAGACAGGAATACTCCACATAAAGTATTTCAATTTGCTAAAGTTTGTCATTTTCTTGACAGTATATAAAATTACTGATATCAATAGAAATTGGACCTTTTATAATTTGGGTCAAAACACCTCCCTTTCTGTCACACAGCTAGGAGGGATTTCTTTCACATCCTTTAGCTCCACAGAGCTAACAGAAGAGGCAGATGTGCTGTTCTAGCACGCATCTGCTTTCTCCATTTCTCAATGAGCTGAACTAGGGAAACATAGGTAAGCTGTGATCGAGTGCGCATGCGCACAACTGCCGCCCCAGAACAGGGGCTTCTCAGTGAGAAGCCTGATTGGACGGCTTGCAGAAAAAAAATATATATTTTGGTATATATCTACTAAATTGATAAAGGAAATCAGTGGAATGTTTCACTTTGGAGTTTAGCGATTGAACTTGTGGAACTAACTCATGAGGGGGCTGCAAAATGGGACGTTGTCTAGGGCGGCAGAATTTCTTGCATCGGCCCTGTGCATATCCCATTGTACAGTACTGCTGAATTTGTTGACTCTTTTTAAATAATAATAAAAAAGAAAGTGATTTTACTCCTAAATGGCAGAGAATTGAGCTTAATCCCTGGTCAGGACCACAAATGGGTTCCTTTCTAAGAACAAGCATAAAATATTAATAGGGCCCTAGGTAACTTCCCATAAGTTGTTTACTATATCAGCACTTCTTCTCCCAGTATACTGGAGACTTCTTTGGTTCCAGGAAGAATCTATGCCTATAAATAAACAAGTGACTTAATCAAAGCGATGCCAAAATCCAAATGGCAGCTTAACCAACCTAGATAGATTTAATTCAGTTCAAAAATCACTGACATATTTTAATGGGATTCACAATAAATATATATGTACAGCTAACCTACGAAAAAAATAAAATATTCCAACAAAGAGCGCTAAAGTGTTTGTTTTGAGGAATGTTCTTATGGCTTCTTACCGGGGTGGTTTTCTTTCAGTACCAGTAAGTAGAATACGCCAGTAGCAGAAAGTAATTTCTGAACCAATGGAAAGAATCTGTCCATTACTTCACGGCCATTTGTGCCTCCAGCCCACGCTGCTTCAATACCATGACTTCCTACCTAGAAAATGAAAGATGAAAACAATGTCAACATAGAAAAATATTTAAGAAATACCCCATGAGGTTTTTTTTGTTTTTTTAAATTAATAAACAATACCTCTTCAGAGGGGGTCACGACATAGGGTGGGTTAAAAACAAGAAGGTCAACTTGTCCCTGTAACCTTGGCAGTAATCCACTGACCTGTACAGATAACAAAAAAAGGACAAATAATGTACATGGAATGTAACCAATTATAGTGAAACAGAAAATTATATTCTCAATTCCTATATTCCCGGTCAGCTGCACTAACTCATTGTGCCACTAATTTAACTGCCATGTGATTTTGAGATAATAATTACTGATAGCTTAACTCCTATTTAGTAATTAGTTCCCATTTAAACCAAGCCCAATTGATTACAAGTTGCCAAAACACGGAGTAAGTTTATTTTGCTTTTCCTTAGTTCTGTGTCCTAGACCAAGGATTAACCAACACCACTTCTTATTTCAACTTCCTTCTCTACAGTGGGTGAAAAAAAGGCACAACCAAAGGGTGACAGCAATTACTGTAGGTGATGAGCCAACCATTGTGGTCTCAGTCTCATGCTTCTGATACTTAATTTCTACCTAGCCTGCATTATTGTCACAGGCAAAGCAGCAAATACTAATAACAAGGCAGCCACATTTGGCACTCTCTCAAAAAATATTTATTTAGAAAAAAAAATAATGTATTTTGTGTTGTGCTAAATCACAATGGTCATTAATATTTAACTAACCAACACTTGATTACTAATATTATAAAATTGTGCAGACCTACTACTTGCCATGTTTGACAATGTATGATGATATTATGCTTGTGACTGCTGTTGTGGCAACACGGGCTCCTTTGTTATAACTTGCACATCAAAAAATAAAGAATAAAAAAAAAAAAAAATTGAACTAAATATATAATTAAGCATACCAAAACTTACCAAATCAGTCACAATTGGTTCAATGTGCACTTTATTGGCTTGTGATGTCTCCAAAGTACACAAAGCTGCCAGTGGGTTAATATCGGTACATCTGAAAGCAAAGCAGCAATGTTAGACATTTTACTGTGTTTTCAACTCATTACACAGTATGCTACTTTAATATTATCCAAATTATAGTCTATGAAAGGCACAGCGGTGCAAAAAAAATAAAAAAAAGTCTGGAAACCTCAATGAAAATTGAAGAACTTGGTATTGGTAAGAATGTATACGTTTTCTTCCTGGCCTATGTGAGGATTTGGATAAAGTTCTTTACATGAAATTTAGAGACCTAGCCATATTCTTCCGACATTAAAGGGACACTATAGTACCCTGAGGGTGCCCCCACCCTCAGGGTCCCCCTCCTGCGGCGCTGAAAGGGGTTAAAACCCCTTCAGCTACTCACCCATTTCCCCGCCGGGCTCCCTTAGCTCTCTCTTTAGATTCTCCTAGTAGTACTTCAGAGTTAGAGGTGTTGCAGAATAAACCCACCCCTAATAGAAGATCTAAGAGAAACAAATGCAATTTCTACTGCCGAATACTTTCAGTGAGACGAACTGCTCCATTTTGTTAAAAACACCTTGATCAATTCCTTATAGAAGTTATCAGGTCCTGAACAGTTCCTACCTACCCCCACAAAGAGCTGTGTACTGCAGTTGAACTCCTCCTTATATTGTCTGTGTTTATATAGTGGTTGTGTGTGGTGAAACACTGAAAGGGGACACTTTCAAATATTACAGAGATAGATAATGTTCATTTTTATAATAGAGAGGGTGACTGATGCAGTGCTTAACATTTCTGTTGAGTTTTATAAAATATGGTCCCCTTGGCTTGACAAACATCTGGAGCAGGTACTATGGCTTTTTTTCATGTTTGTTAGCTATACCCCCCTTTTCTCACTTTTTTCATTCTTTATTCTCTTCTTTCTCCATTTGTCTTGTCTTTTCTCTCACCCGTGGCTATCTTCCTCGATCAATTTACATTTGAGTCTTCTTATTAATTATTATAGATTATTTATGTTCTAGTACCTGGAGGATACATTTGACTTCTTTCTCTATTGTGAACACATTTGCATACACTTTAAATGTTAAATTAATGATAATTATAAAGAAAGAGTAAAGTTAGTTATACTTACAGATACCAGGTGTTTGGTCCAAGTAATGATGCTATGAATGCGGAAACAACGCCTGATCCACAACCCACTTCAAGACAGATTCCAACTCTACAACAAGTACAAACATATATTCTGAAGGAATATACTGTCTCCTTCAAAGTGTCCAATAACCTTTTTTCTGAATATGCCGAGCAACAATTTTTAGAGATACCATGTTTTCTTCAGTTTTCATCACCTAAGCTCATACCAGAATTATGTGTCTGTCTGTTCTTGCTCTAAAACAATGGACAAGAACTGAAGGTGGAAAAATTGAGCATTTTCTGGTGCCACTACCGCTTAATGGAGATGCCCATACTCTGCTTTGACATAATTTGTCATATCTTCACTCAGAAGTGAAAGCACAATCCCCATCCACCCCTCAATGGTGCCAGCACCAGAAAAACTGCTTCCTGCTCTTTGTAACCGTAAGGATGGGGAGTGAGACAGGGAAATTATGAGAAGGAAGGATGTGGCATGAAAAGTATGGGTGGGGTAATGTTTTTTTGATGACTGTAAAGGGAAGGTGATAACTATGGGGGAAGATATGAGCGCTCTGGAAGGTAATGACTACAGAGGACCATGAGAATAACAGCATATATACAGTAGGTGGGGTGAAAGATATCTAGGAAGCAGAGGTGGTTGATGAAGCTGATGGAGAATTTTTCCAAATCAGCACTTTTTGTTTAATATTTTTTCAAATCACAGTCTAATCTGAGGTTTATTTCTCTCAAATATTATATTGCCATATAGGAGGACAAAACATGTAATGAAAGCATGAGAAAAAAAAAATTTGAAATCACAATAAAAAATGCCAAAGGAAATGTCCGTGATCAAGTAAAAGGGAGTAAAACACCCAGACACCACCTCTGGCACTAATGGATAGATACAGATACAATATTGTACAGACATTCTCATGCACAGGCACACAAATGGTAACTAGTACAGAGCCCCAGCCTAGCCAGTTCACCCCTGGTGCTTTAGTCATTTTTAGTCCTAGACAACAGGCTGGTAGGCAGGCCTATATTTTAGGGTGTGAATAATAAGAAAGGCCAATAACTTGGAAACCTTAGTCAATTTTTGTAAACCTGGACTTTGCCTATAAGACAAAGTAGGCCCTGCTTGTCTTAATATATCTTTTGATTGCATTGGAATTACCGTGCAGTCAACAGGAACACTTAAAAAAAAAAAAACAATTAGGAGATATTCCTAAAATGACCATATATGACATTGCCACTTTAATTAGCTCTGACCTGCTTTTATCTAGGGAAAGATGTACCAATTGTTAAATAAACAAAAACAACACAGGATCCTCCGAAAAAACACACTGAAACTGCTTCCATAAAAAAAAAATAAAAAAAAACACAATAGTATTCCCTATATCAGTAGATTGTTTGTTCCTGTTTTTGAATTCAGTAAAATGTGGTGCGGTAACATTCCATCTGCCCCTAGGGGCAAGCCTCCACTTATCTGGAGAGTTTATTGTTAAGAGGAACTGCCACACTAAAAACATTGATTGCTGAATGAGCCAGGTTGGTGTAGTATAGTCTGAATGAATTACTCTTATGATAAGTAAACCATGCTACTCATTTAAATTGATATGTTTTACATTACTCAATAGCTTCTGTATATACGCAATCAAAATGCTACACTGAAAGAAATGCATTTGGTTACAGCTTCATTTGGAGTTTAGAAAAATATAGGTAGAAACCTCATTCATGTTGGTGTGAAGATTGATTACCTAGACTTCAGCTCTTCGACATCTTTCTCCAAAGCATCAATTAAAAGAAATGAATCTTCTGCCGGGTCATAAACATTAATAAAGTCACCATGGCCGACATGTGAATAGACAGGAGTAGGAAACATTTCTTCCCTGAAAAAAAAAATAAAAAAAGTACAAATTTGCCATTAGATTTTAAAACCAAATGACACCGAATTGATCTAACATCTGACCACTTACTAGATCAGGCATAGGTAACCTTCAGCACTGCAGATGTTTTGGACTACACCTTCCATGATGCTTTGCCAGCATTATGGGTGTAAGAGCATTATCTGGAGTGCCGAAGGTTGCCTATCTCTGTATTAGATAGTTAAATAGATTACAGGTGTGCTTTTTAATAAAGATGCCTTTTCATTTTTTTCTGTCTATTGCTGTTGTGAAATGTTTTATTTTCAAAAATATATGTTTATAACCATAACTTTAATTCTATCAAATTGACATTCCTCCCAATTAAAGCAGACAATATAAAATAAAAATAAAAAACACAATACACGTTTTTGTTTTACAGCAATAAACATTTTTTTTAGGGACTAGACAAGACTTATTGCCATAAAATGCAACCATGGGGCAAAAACATAAACTCATGTAACCCTAAACATGGAGCCCATGGATACCAATGTAATGCAGAGTTTAAATCACTAACTAATACAGTTTTGTGTCAACTCATAACACTGAATTCCAATAGAGATTTTTGTTCACTGGAATGAATAGTACAACATGCTGGCATTGGTTTTTGCTTGGGTTATTTACTGGAGATGCTGCACCGTTGTCCCTCACAATTTAAATAAGTCACTGCCCCTATAAAAAATAAAAAAATAAAAGCAGAAATCAATGACAGCAACAAAGCAACTTACTCACTTAGCCACCCTACACGCATGCGCCCTGGCTGATTCTATAGGTGTCGCACGAAGATGACGTCTCTGGAAGCACGTGGTACCAGGAAGTGGGAAGAGCGCCTGTGCTCCATGCACGTGTTCTGATACAATGTGCTAACGTGGATCGAATGCATTTAGATTCAAAGCGGTCAAACAAGCACAGCTACATTCAGAGTGACATTGAATGGGCAGTAATATCCAAAGATACACAATTCTACCTTTAATCAGTGGGTTTTATGTGTAAGCAAAGGGATACTCAAAAGTAATGGGACAGTCCCAATTGAGGGGGTTCAGGGCAGTTTAACAAGGTGTCTGTTTTGTCGGTAATAATTAGATATCTATACATTTGGTCGCTGATTTGTACAATGTAAATATAAAATTCGAGTAGAATTAGGGTTCTGGCATGTTTCTTGTAAATACAACATGTAGCTACAAATTCATACTAACAAAATCAACAGACCAAAGATACCTTTTTATACAGTTTGTGTAGCTCTTGCTAGGTTGTTGATAAGGTGTTAGAAAACATACATCCAAAGTGTCCCTATTTAGGAGGGACAGTCCCTTTTTCTATCCAATGCCCCCCTTTCCTTTGAGCTTCGTATTGTATGTCAAGGTTGGCAATAATACAGTCATCTGTGTGTAAACTACAGTAAATGTGTTTAGAAATCAGTCTGTGTAAATAAGATAAATTACATTTTTGCTGGATATATTATTATAGGTAAGTCTCCAAAAATGTCTTGAAACAGCCATGCATCTGGCCATTCTGCAACTTACCTAAAATTACAGTGTCCCTCTTTCAGTCTTTCAGTGGCGGATCCAGGGGGGGGCAACGGGGCAATTGCCCCCCCCGAGAAATCCGCCGGTCTCCCTCTCCCTCCCCTGCCAGCACATGCAGGTTCTAGCCCTGCAATGTGCCTGCGGACCGGAGGGGAGATCAGAGATCTCCCTCCCCGGTCCACAGGCACTGTGCGGGCGGCCGGCGGCGGAGGGAGGAAGTGAAAGGGAGGACCCGGAGCTCAGTCTGCAGCTCCTCCGGGTCCTCCTCTCGTGTGATTTGGAGCGTTGCCGCGGTTACCACGGCAACGCTCCAAATCTCGCGAGAATGAACTCTAGCCCGGGAGCGCGGGCTAGAGCTCACTTTCCACACTGGGACCACCAGGGAATACCACTGGGACCACCAGGGATCGAAATATGTCCCCCCTCCTCCCCAGTAAAGGTAAGAAGGGAGGGGGGACATAGGATATTTATTTTAATTAAATAAAAAAATATATATTATAAAAAAAAAAAAGCCACACACACATACATTGCCCCCAATACTGCCCCCCCATTCACACAAACTGCCCCCCATTCACACAAACTGCCCCACACACACACTGCACACCATACTGCCCCCCATACACACAAACTGCACTGCCCCCAATACACACAAACTGCCCCCATTCACACAAACTGCCCCCTATACACACAAACTGCCCCCATTCACACAAACTGCCCCTATACACACACTGCCCCATACACACAAACTGCCCCCATTCACACAAACTGCCCCCTATACACACAAACCCCCCATTTGCCCCTATACACAAACTGCCCCCCATACACACATACTGCCCCCCATACACACACACACTGCCCACATACACACACACACCAACATATACACACAAACTGCCCTCATACACACACTGCCCTCATACACACACTGCCCCCATACACACACTGCCCCCCATACACACACTGCCCCCCACACACACACACTGCCCCCCCATACACACAAACTGCCACACACACTGCCCCACATACACACACTGCTCCCCCATACACACACACACTGCCCCCCATACACACATACTGCCCCCCATACACACACACTGCAACTGTTACACACACATACTGTCCCACACATACACTGCATCCCTGACATACACTGCCGCCCTCACTCACACACTACAACCTTCACACACACTCTGCACCCCTTACACATTGCACCACTCACACACACCACTGCTCCTATGCCCTACTACAGCCCTATTTCCCAGCAGATCTCAGGTAAGTTGTCAAACTGTTCTTAAACGGTTTGACTACTTACTGTGGGAGGTGGTCCCGGCACTATTGACACCATAACCACTACACTGAGCTGTAGTGGTTATTGTGTCTGGATTATTTATTTAAATAATCTACAAGTGCCCCTCCCGAGATCAGGCTCTGGATCCGCCACTGCCCTCTTTGTCCATTTGAAATGTGGGGGTTATGCAATATTACTTAGGTAAGTTGTGATTATTTAACGTGAACTTGTTATAAAAAAAAAAATGAACTTACCTGAAATCGCTCCCAAATACATTGAATACACCATACGTCACAAACATGCATGGTGTAAAATTTAAAGATTTACTCACTTTTCCCATTACAGCACCAATTCGTGGGTGTTACTCTTTATGTAACATCCACCTCCTGGCCATCCTTCGCTCCGCCTGTGCTCATTCCGAAGTCCTATTTGTTTTGCCCAGCTTTGGGCGCATCCCCAAGCAGGGCAAATCTTGTCAATGACATCGGAAGCCAGCATGCCAGCGTTGTAACGGAGTGATGTCACTCCATTCGTATACTCCCTAGCCAGCACAAGATGCACCAGCTAGGGAGTTTTCATAGCATCCACAGCGCATGAGCTGTGGTTTCTATGAGTGGAGAGTATAGGGATGTCATGTTGGGGGTATTTTCTGCTCTCTCTTCTCAGTCAGTGCCCCGGGACACTGCGTCACTTACTGACAGCTGAGAGAAAAACTATTTTTAAATAGTTTTTTCTCCTAATCTATACATTTGCTAGCACAATGTATAGGTAAAATCTTATGCTCAATCTAATGAGCATACATTGTTTGCTGCGTGACAGGGGCCGTCTGATAACCTTTTAAGGCAATTAACATTTAGAGATTAGCACAATAATAAAATGACAATATTTTGTTAAAACATTCATTCGGTTCCTTGTACTGCTGTGGTGTATAGTGATAAACAGACCTGTCAAATCTCAGTATATTATGGTGTGACAACTGATTTTCTCATAATCCAACCAATAGTTCTCAGTGTCATTCTGTTAGAAGGACTAAAGAAAATTGCTGAGTGAGCACATGATTAACTGTACACAAAACCCTCCATGAATATTGTAAGTGTGAAATAAGGTGCAGAATTCTTTTTAAAAAGTAGTCACCTGTAATGGTTATTTTGCCAAGGACGCCCTGGTGCCATCCCATGGTGTATAGTCCAACTGTTTTCAAATGGTTTGATAATTATCTGGTCCCCAGGTTTACAGCCCAGATCACATATGCCAGAGAAATGTGAAACAATGTGTGAACTCACCCCAGACTACACTAATTATCCTTGATTGTAAGACAACAAAAAACAACAATGAAAATGGCACTGGAACACTTTGAATATTTCTCTGGAGAAATGCATTAGTGTTTATTTTGCAGACAACTTCACACACACACACTGTCAGGATATTTATATCGACAGACATTTTGTGCTAAGATAGAAATTAAAAATGTATATTGCCTGAGTCACTCAGAACAGAGCGGACTCCATTTTGGATCTTCAGGCCAACAAAGACACATAATTTCTTCTTGCTTTCTGTAACTAGCCACTAGCCTGAGCTAAGGAATGCATTATATAAACAAGCCAAGTGATAAGCAATGAAGCAGGGGGATGGAATGCTCTGTTTAAATGTTAATAGAATAGAAATAATTTTAAACACAGACACTAGTGACAGAGAAGACTCAGTAATTAATTTTACTCTCTAAATTTTACAAGGTCCCATTGTAAGTAAGGGGTGAAATTGAGTTTAGAACTGTCAATTTTAGAAATTACGATCAAAGTAGTTGCCACAAAGACTGAGACAAACGCTTTGAACTGACAGCAAATTTAAGTTATGGTAGTCATTTTAGATAAGCCAAATGACGTCAAAATCGTCATCAGGAAAAGTTAACTCTTTACTGGATTGGAAGGTTTAGTGAGGCGAGACTGCCCTCTATGGATCAAATACCTAAATTGCGACCTACAGTTTCCTATTGGCCTTATCAACTAATGACGTACAGAGAGTCTGGCCCTTTAAAAGTTAGGACAAAGGGAAGAGAGAGGTGAGTTTTGGGCATTCAGAATTGGAAATGCAGAGAGATCCAGGACACTCTGGGACTAACACTCAACTCTCAAACTCTCTTGGACACAACTCAAGAAACACTCCTTGACACTTAGAATTTTACTGATACTTTCTAACCAACATCACTTTTCTCTATTACTCACGCACCTCCATACAACCAATCATACTCGCATGTTCCTGGGACTTCCTACTCATCTGATGAGAATACCTACATAACTGGTAATTATGCTGGTTTTATTTAATTAATTTAAATTAATTAAAAATTTACTAATAGCATGATATATGACTGGATAAATCACGGTCAGATTTCAATATTTAGAAATCTTAGTTAACTAAAGAATATATAGTTATAAACATTCCATTCTGTAGGTGGAATTAAGAATAATTATATATTAATGTGATAGTATCACATGTTAGCATAACGTTGTTTTTATCCAGGTGTATTGATTTGCTCTAATATAAGATAAGATATCTTTTTAGGCAAATTAAAATTCGGCTTTTGTAAAAATCTGGTAGATTATTCTTATTGGATGGTTCCAGGAAATGATTAATGAGCTGGTTCGAATGTTATTTTAATTGAAAATTACATGAGAATAGGATACTATATGCCTAGGAGGATCTAGCCAGCATTGAAAGGGTTACTCAGTTGATTTAACTGTTAGCCAAGGTTTTGCTGGGCTGTGTGAAGTTTTGCTTTCTTTGTACTGTGTTTAGCCATTGCCATTGTATACTTATGTTATACTAAATATTCACTGATTAATATCATGCATGCTGCCTAATATTATTATTTTATTTGTCACAATAAATTATATCTATTTTTATAACACATAGTGATTTTATTTGTATGGAATACATTTCACTTACACGATCTCTAAGATCTAAGAGAATTGAAATAGTGGGCAATTCTCAACTGTATAATATTACCATCCCATAAATATCCCCATAACACATATTTAAATTACATATTTGGTTATGGGGGTAGAGCAACTGCTGAGCAGTTGAATCTACTCTGAGCTCTACAGGGCCAGATTAAGAGCCCAGTGGGCCTGGTGCTGACAATTATGACGGGCCTAATTACAGAATCATATCGACCAAAAACAGTAAAACACTCCCAAGCGTCATATACCTGATGGAGATGGTGCTGGAGAGAAAGAAAACAGCAGCTATGAGAAAACACATACCCCAGGTTAATCTCTCTCTAATTTATGTTTTCATCTTTCAAGTAAATCCATACCCCCTAACAGCAGTGTCCACTCAAGCAGGAAGTCAATGGGCATGGTAAAAGGGTGTGCCACTGACACAAATTACGTAACCTGCCAAAAGGGGCGAACATGCCCAAAAAGAGGACATGTCTGCCCAAAGAATTAGAAGGCCAGCCTGGTATGAATGCATGCCAGGCTGCCTGCCAATCATGCAGCTGGCCAACTAAGGGCATACTATGCAGACAGCACCCTGAGCTTGGCATAAATGCATCTAATGATGCGCTCACTCAACGCTTTCTAAGGACTGTCCCCTAGCACTCGCTGGTCCACTTGTCTCCTTACCTTCTTACTAGCAGGCAGAAGCTCCTGGTATATAGTTTGGGAAAGAGAAAAGCCGTATGTAGTGAGTGTAGAAGAAAAGGAACATGCCACAGTGTTAGAGAGACCAAAGTCAGCATTACCTTAAAGGATCACTATAGGGTCTGGAACACAAACATGAATTCATGAACCTATAGTGTTAACAGCACCATCTAGCCCCCCCTGGGCCCCTCATACCTCCATAAATATAGCAAAATCTTACTGTATTCAAGCCTGGAGCTGTAACTCTGCATGCTGTTATACTCAGGAAAACAAGCAGTCTGCTGACATCATTAGAAGTGGTGGCCTAATCCAATCACAGTGCTTCCCCATAGGATTGGCTGAGACTGACAAAGAGGCAGATCAGGGGCAGAGCCAGCATGATTCAAACACAGCCCTGGCCAATCAGCATCTCCTCATAGAGATGAATTGAATCAATGAATCTCTATGAGGAAAGTTCATGTCTGCATGCAGAGGGAGGAGACACTGAATGTTTGGATGCATTTTAGGCAGCCATGACCCAGGAAGGATCTCTAACAGCCATCTAAGGAGTGGCCAGTGAAATTATCACTAGGCTGTAATGTAAAGACTGCATTTTCTCTGAAAAGACAGTGTTTACAGCAAAAAGCCTGACGGTAATGATTCTACTCACCAGAACAAATTCAATAAGCATTATTATATCAGCGCACTATAATTTGTTTCTAGCTGTATTACACTACGTATTCTTTTTGTTCTGGTGACTATAGTGTCCCTTTAACTATGTTCATTGTCAGCCAGTCCACACAAGTTTTGTTCCCATCCATCCCTCTTAAAGGACCACTCTAGGCACCCAGACCACTTCAGCTTAATGAAGTGGTCTGGGTGCCAGGTCCTTCTAGGGTTAACCCATTTTTTCATAAACATAGCAGTTTCAGAGAAACTGCTATGTTTATGAATGGGTTAAGCCTTCCCCTATTTCCTCTAGTGGCTGTCTCATTGACAGCCACTAGAGGCGCTTGCGTGCTTCTCACTGTGATTTTCACAGTGAGAGCACGCAAGCGTCCATAGGAAAGCATTGTAAATGCTTTCCTATGCGACGGGCTGAATGCGCGCGCAGCTCTTGCCGCGCGTGCGCATTCAGTCCAGGAGGAGGAGGAGAGGAAGCAGAGAGCTCCCCGCCCAGCGCTGGAAAAAGGTAAGTTTTTACCCCTTTCCTCCTTCCAGAGCCGGGCGGGAGGGGGTCCCTGAGGGTGGGGGCACCCTCAGGGCACTATAGTGCCAGGAAAACGAGTATGTTTTCCTGGCACTATAGTGGTCCTTTAAGTTTCCATACTTAAATAAGAGTATGTGAAAAGTAGTTAGGGTTGCCATCTTTCTTGGAAAAACATACCGCCCTTGCTAATTTGCATAATTAAATATGTATGGGTGACATCATATGATGTAAATCACAAGGAGTGATATAAGAGAAAATGCTGTAAAATCACCAAAAAACGACTTAGTTTGATTCTGCTGTATAGATGGATTCCTCCCAGTGCCTCCATGTGTCGATTACTCCAGGTCTCAGTGTTCCTATGTATCAGTGTCTCAGTGCCCCATGTCTCCCAGTGTCCCCTAGTGTCGTGTCCCCAGGTCTCCCAGTGATCCTATGTATCACAGTGTCTCAATGCCCCATGTGTCCCCATGTATCCCAGGGTCCCCATGTCACTAGGAAGACAGGAAGACCTGAGGACATGGGAGACCTAGGGACACGGAGACACCAGTGACACTGGGAGACTAGGGGACTCTGGCTGGGATGCATGGGGACACTGGGAAAATAGGGGACACTTGAAGACATGGGGACACAGACACTAGAGACACTGGCTGGGGGACACTGAAACATGGGGGCACTGGGAGACATGGGGACAAGGAGACACCAGGGCCACAGAAACTAGGAACACTAGCTTGGAGACATGGGGACATTGAGACACTTGAGGCACTAAGAGACATGGGGACAGTGAGACACTGGCAGACTGGGGGCACTGGGAGACTAGGGGGCACTGAGACACCTGGGACACTGGCTGGGAGACATGGGGACACTGTGTCCCCATGTGTCTGTGTCATAATGTCTCCCAATGTCCCTTAGTGTCTCAGTGTACCCATATCTCCTTGCAGCCTTTCCCCCCATCCCTTACTTCCCTGAGCTGTAGGCTGTCTCTGCAGGGTGGGAATTGCTGTCTGGACTCTCTGTAGCTGCACCCCTGCAGATCAGTGAGTATAGATATTCAGGGAGGGATATGCTGGAACTTCCTATCCCTGCCTGTCTCCACACACAGCGACCCCTACTGGCCAGTGCTGGTATTGCATAGTAATCTCTTGTTTATACTGAGAAAAATACCAGCATTTGTATTGCCAGTATCACTGTAATATTGGCACCAGCCAGGCAGCCTCAAATACTGGCTGTGCCAATAAAATAAAAGCCAGGTGGAATCCCTAAGAGTAGTGGGTGGAAAAAAAAATGTATTTAAAAAAAAAAAAGAATTTTTTTTTTTTTTTTTATAAATCAATGGGCCTATCCCATGGGCCTGGGCCTGGAGCTGCAGCTCCATCAGCCCCTATGTTAATCCGGCCCTGGAGCTCTACTTGTCTTGCTGAATAAACTGTTGGTTCAAATACTTTACATTTTTTGGAGTGAGCCTTGAGTTCCATGCCTGAGAACATGATGGGGAGACAGAAATATAGGCCTCATCCTGTCACAGCTTCCAAGGATCAAAATGGCAGATTCAAACATCTGCCTAAGAGAGCTTGGGTCACCCAGACATGATGACTACCCGACAAAACAGCGCAACACCAACCCCCAGGGAAGTTAATACTCTCTTGGCCACAAAGGGGACATCTTCAATTTAATAGTGGACATTAATGGCTTTTTCACAACAGAACTGGTCGTCCTGAAGGAAGACTTTAGCATTCTTACTGGTCGAATTAAGGCCACAGAGAAAGATATCCAGAGAGTACAGAAGCTAACTAAAACTTGCTGTCTGCATACTTCTAAGGTTGAGCAACTCGAAGATATAGGCAAAGAAACTTAAAAAGCCGGGATATACCTGATGCTATTGATTCAGGAGAACTTCCCTAGTTTATTAGATGCTTGTTTACTGCTATTCTGCCACCATTACATGGGCTTTAGCGACTCACAAGACCACCAAATGCTCAACCCACAGTGGGTCAAAATGTCATTATGAGCTTCAAGTCCTGCTGTGATAAAGACCTTTTTGTGAAAGCAGTCAAAGGACAAACTCCTTTTATTTTTGAACGACACTCTAGACCAGTGATGGTGAACCTATGGCACGCGTGCCACAGGTGGCACGCCGAGCCCACTCTGTGGGCACGCGGCAATAGGTCGCCGGAGGGAGGGAGGGTGCGCTCCACCGGCGCATCCATAAGGCGGCACAAGTGGCCGCCTTAGGGTGCACCGGCCCGGCGGGCGCAAGGCCGGAGTGACCGGCAGGAGGTGAGCGCACAGCGCTCCCTCCTGCCAGTCACTCTGTGTAGCGTGGCCGAGCGCGCCGCGGTACAGGAACTTATGTTTCCTGTACTCGGGCGGACGGAAATGAAGTGCTCACAGAGACAGCACTTCCTGTCCGCCGGGTACAGGAAACTGAGCTCCGCGCTCGGCCACGCTACAAGGTAGGAGACTGAGGGAGAGATGGGGGGCAGGAAACTGAGGGGGGGGGGTGGTTAAAACTGAGGGAGAAATGGGAGGGGGGAATAAAACTGAGGGAGAAATGGGAGGGGGAATAAAACTGAGGGAGAAATGGGAGGGATAAAACAGGGAGAAATGGGAGGGGGGAAAAAAACTGAGGGAGAAATGGGAGGGGGAAAACTGAGGGAGAAATGGGAGGGGGAAAACTGAGGGAGGTATGAGGGGGAGAAAACTGAGGGAGGTATGAGGGGGAGAAAACTGAGGGAGGTATGAGGGGGAGAAGACTGAGGGAGATATGGGAGGGGGAGAAGACTGAGGGAGATATGGGAGGGGGAAACTGAGGGAGAGATGGGAGGGGGAAACTGAGGGAGGTATGAGGGGGAGAAGACTGAGGGAGGTATGGGAGGGGGAAACTGAGGGAGAGATGGGGGGAGAAAACTGAGTGTGGGATGGGGGAAAGAAAACAGTGGGGAGGGAGGGCGGACGACATACAGCACCCCTGCCCTACACATATCACACCACACACACCACCCCACACAAACACACACACATCAACCCACACAAACACACACACACATCAACCCACACAAACACACACACATCAACCCACACAAACACACACACACACATCACCCCACACAAACACACACACATCACCCCACACAAACACACACATCACCACCCCACATCACCCCCCACACACACACACATCACCCCATACACACACACACACACACACACATCACCCCATACACACACACACACACATCACCCCACACACAAACACATACATTGTAGCCCTCAATGCAGTGTGTGTACACTCAGCAGTCTGTGTACACTCAGCAGTCTGTGTGTGTGTGTACACCCAGCAGTCTGTGTGTGTACACCCAGCAGTCTGTGTGTGTGTGTGTGTACACCCAGCAGTCTGTGTGTGTGTACTCAGCAGTCTGTGTGTGTGTACTCAGCAGTCTGTGTGTGTGTGTGTGTGTGTGTGTGTGTGTGCGTGAGTACTCAGCAGTCTGTGTGTGTATTTAGCAGTCTGTGTGTGTGTGTGTGTGTGTATTTAGCAGTCTGTGTATACTCAGCAGTCTGTGTGTGTATTCAGCAGTCTACTAAATACAGACAGACTGCCGAGCACACACACATACTGCTTAATACACAGAGATGTTAATTAATTCGGACAACTGTAGGAGTTGTTTTTTCTAAACTTAAACCTCAGTATTCAGGTTTAATTGCCGTTTTGGCACTTTGAGGGAAAAAAAATTGGCATGTATTACGGTTTGGGCACTCGGGCTCAAAAAGGTTCGCCATCACTGCTCTAGACACTCTCTAGCTTTTCCATGACCTATGTCACTTTTCTAACAGGGCGCGCTTCTCACGAAGTGGTGATTAAACAGCTTAGAGAGGCAGCGATTCCATATAGACAGGAAACACCCTGTGCATTGACAGTCGATAGTGAAGGGCGAAGATACAAGTTGACATTTACATCAGATACAGCTGGAATTTTGCAAGCCCTGGGAGTACCTGCTACCCTATCACTGACTAAGGACCCACAGACATCGCACTCCTGGGATGTCGATAACATTAAAGTTTTTATTCCAAGCCATTTCTCTGCATCTAACTTGAAACAATTAAAGAATCAACATTGAGGAACTACTCTTCCATTGCGCTCCTCAGTTTATTTTTCTTATAATTTCTCAATGCTTTTGGATGATCACTTAATATTTCAAATACCTGGGAATCCAATACCACTCTGTTGAAATACCATGACGCCTAGGCTCTTTAATTCACACCCGCTCACCCGAGGATGGAACTACAATCTAAAACCCTCCCCCCCACCCGGGTAGATGAAGCATTTATTATAAGGCTGCCCTATCATACTTAAACGTGCCTTGCATATATTTTTAGCCTTCTGTGCCCAATAGGCTCTTTAGTACTATTTGTTTACCTCACTTTAAATTGCAATCCCTATGTGTTTAAATAAAAATGGACAAATCCTCGTGCAGATTTGTTGATGCTTTGAGGGATTGTTATATTCTAAGTTGCAATAATTTTAACTTAAGTTAAATTCGGGATGATTAACGCTGCATATATGTTTTGTATTGTCTTTGCATATGTTGCACTTTATGCAAATGTCTTTGAGATGTACCAGCTTACCCGGAAAATTAAGAAAAAATAAAATAATATTTGATTATACATTTTATCTGGTGGACTCGTGTATTTAATTTCCTGTTCCATGACCAAGAGAAGACCTGTATCAATATCCATGGTGGATGGTGGTAGTATACTGGCTACATATTATGTTATTATAAGTACTACCACCTCTGATGCTCGACTTCAAGACTTCTCGAGGGCTGTGCCGTTCCTGTCGAACTCACTTCACTCCTCCGTTAGATGCTCACCCAGTCTCTACTCCTTTAAAAATATCATTAAAAACCCACTTCTTCACAAAAGCGCATCATAAAAGCTTTGTCAGCTCACCCAGCCGTTACTAGTGATGACTGTGATAAAAAGGCATTGTCTCGCTGATCGGTAGACAATATCTATGGAATGTCTCACAGTATCCTACATAGATATCATTATTTTGCTTTTACACATGTGCGTGTACAGTATTGACATGCGCTCCTGGGAGACGAAGCACCAGGACCTGCAGGGGACAGAAACAGGTAAGTATATCTCAACTATGCTGCACCCCCGGGCCACCGCACACCAAGCAGCGATGTCACTATTGGGGATCTTTGCAAAATATCAATTATGATAGATACGCGTTAACACATCTTAATAGTTAAACCTTTTACTCAACTTCGTAATCACTCAATAGGACAGAATTGGTAGAAGAAATACTGGTACTGCCCTTAGTGGACACCGGACACCAACAATACACAAATACGTAGACAGGAAACACCTGCCGGATAGTTATAAATCCTTTATGACTCTTTAGTTCTCCATATTATCACACTTATTAATATCACTTTTAATCCATACAGCAGGATTTAGAGTAATGTTACACATTTCAGTCCATGTTTAGGAACTTCTGATAAGACTTGATAAAAGTCCCTGAATGAGGACAGAAAAATTATATTTCTCTCTCCCACTTTCACAAAAGCTCATTTGCTTTAAAAAATCTATATATTTAAAAATAATAGCCATTGCCCACACACAGCTGCAGTGTTACTAATAAGAATCAAGCAGCCCATGTCAGAGCGCCATCTAGTGGACAGAAAGCACTGGCCGCATTACACCATACATTTTTTTTTAAGAGCCCTTTGATTGACGTCTTTTTCATCCAATCACAGCGAATCTCTCCCTGGCGGCCGTCCAATAGGCTGTAGTTCTCGCGGTGACGTATAGCGGCTCGAGCCCCAGCACTTCCTTTCTCTGGTTGGCAGGCATCGAGGCAACATGAAGGCGTCGGGCACTGTAAGGATCTCGGGGGGAAACGGGGCCGGTGGGGCCCCAGCTGCACCATCCGGCTCCCAGAGTTAGGGCCACAGCCTACTCCAACGGTCCCCGAGGCCGAGGGCTGATTAAAGGCGGTCTGGGCCCGCGGAATATCAGGCTGGCCGCCTGCGGCCTCCAACATGGCGGCTCCGGCTCAGCCATGCGGCCCCCGGCTGGGGATAAGGATAAGGGGGCCGGTAACCAGGACTGGGAAACTAGGGGGGGGCAGCCGGGGAACTAGGGGGGAAGCTGGGGAGCTAAATACCAGGGCTGGGGATAGGAGAGCTAAATGCCAGGACTGGGAGCTGGCAGCCAGGGACAGGGGAACTAAATGCTGGGGTTAGGGGTGCTGGCTGCAAGAGTTCCTGGGGGGATTAATAAAGCAATGCTCGTTTTATAGAGGGTCTGTCCAGGGGCCACAGGGATAGCTGGGTCTATGTAAGGGCCCTGGGATGTCCTGCCAGTCTGCCTTTTTTTTTTTTTTTTACCGATATATACTGTTGCATATCCTTTGTATGTTTAAGTTGGGTTATACAGTACTTTGGGTTTTCAATTAGAAGAATTCTATATTTTTATTTTTTTTAGTGTTAACCTCAGGACTACACAGGGCAAATGAAAGGAACCCTGTACTACATTTGCAACTGTGCTGTTACAGCAATCCTGTCTCGTGTTTGCATATTGAGCTCTTAATTAAAACTAGTGCCATAGTGTAAGACTCACTTTTAATCAGGTATTGGTCTAGCAGCATCTGTTAAAGCACTAGCAGGGTTATATAAGTAAACTCAGACAACAAAGTCAACTTAATTTTAAGGCAGAAGTAGCCCACATGGAAGCATAACTGATCTATTTTCCCAGTTTGGCTATTTTTAAGCTATAGATTTGAAATTCAGCTTTCACTTTAGTGAATACTCCCATAGAAATAATTTAAAGTAGTTTGTTAAAAGTGATTTTGTTGTTTGAAATGTATACATAATGATATGGCTATTTAAAGTGTCAGCAAATATATTAACACTTAGGTCCACCAATATTTCAGCTGTACCAAAATGAAACTTTAATGGCTAGAAATAGTTGTCATTTCGTCTTTATTATACTACTTTAATTTCGCTGCATTTGGAGTGTGAAAAAATAAAGCACTGTAGACTAGTCCTGTTACGAGAACTGTTTTGTTGAGCTCTATTACAGTGAAGTTTATTTTAGGCCATCACTCTACAATTTAAGAGCCTGTTAAATCACTCCTAGTTTGTAAGCTAGCGTCCACTATGTTAATATTTGCTTTCATCTGCTTATTTTTAAAATATACTATAGCATTATGCACACAAAACCCAAAGTTCATCATGTCTCCAAATGATGATCTTGTCTGTTGTGCAAAAAGTAAAGGTACCTTGTCGCCTTTCTTGAGCTGATGTGCTCATGGAAGTGAAACAGAAGGAGCCACATTAAATGTATACAATCTGGCAGGGTTATAAAATACATTGAAAATGTTTGTGTTCATTGTGAATCTAAATTTAATGGATATGTTGACTTATGCAACTACTTTTAAAATTTCAGCTGAGGGAGTATAAAGTTATTGGGCGCAGCCTGCCAACTGCAAAGGTTCCATCACCACCTCTGTATCGTATGCGGATTTTCGCTCCTAATCATGTGGTTGCAAAGTCTCGTTTCTGGTACTTTGTATCTCAACTTAAGAAGATGAAGAAGGCATCAGGAGAGATTGTTTATTGTGGCCAGGTAAGTGCACCCAACCTTAATAATATACAATGTTCCATTAGAGATGGCTACCAGAAATTAAACCTAATGGCTGCACATGCTGCAGCTCTTGCTGTTCGGTGTAGTGCTCATAATGTGGTCACAGCCAGCTTGGGCTTCGATTTTTCTTTTTACATATATTTTTGCATAAACATTTAAAATTATATTTATTGAAATATTAATCTTTTTAAAAATATTAACTGATTTAAGGAGTAGACTGGATGGGATGCAGACACTAAGGGACCTAGGAGAGATGCCAAAACAGTTTGACTACTTACTGTGCTTAGGGGATTCTTCTAAGGCTTGGATCAACAAATTTGCACACATAACCCAAAGTTCATTATTTGCCTGTGTAATGATCTTGTCTGATGTGCATACATTATCAGTATCTTGTCGCCTTTCAAGAGCTCACATGCTTTTGAAAGTGAATATGAAGATACTACACATAACTTTGTGGACTAGGTGAGGGAATAACCTGAATGGACAGAAGATTAAATGAGAAGAACGTGCACATGGTTATTCAATAAAATCGGAACTGATGAAGAAATTGGCAGTTACTGAAGCCAGATGCTGATCATATTGCGCATTCATTGGCAAAGGGCTTCAACTGAGCCCTCCAGCCAGTGAATGGGTCCCTGTGCACATGATTGGCATTAGCCAGCCCACAACTCTTGTTCCAGGCTGGTTAATGATGCTGCCGGAGGTGGAATGACACCTCTGGCAGGTGAATTAAATCACTTGTGCAACATTTCAAACTGAAACCCTGCACATGCAGACTCCTAGCACCATGCCCACTTGGTGCTTGGAGTAACCTTTAATGCTAAAATAGCCCACTTGGAGAAATTTAGCATTTTGACATGGTTTTAAATATTGTGGCCACTTCACTTGTGATTGGCAGTGGAACAAGATGTGGAGGGGATTTTTAGTGGTTGTGTTTTTTTTGTTTTGTTTAGAGTTCAGTAAATTGATGGTGATAGAGGGTTTTTGTTTCCATCAACAAATTCCTGTATGTGGTGCTTGGTTTATTAATTGCTGTGCCTAACCATGCTCCCTCTTGCAGGTGTATGAGAAAACTCCACTGAAGGTGAAAAACTTCGGAATCTGGCTGCGTTATGACTCTCGAAGTGGAACACACAACATGTACAGGGAATACAGAGACCTGACCACAGCTGCTGCTGTAACTCAGTGCTGTAAGTAACACCTTGTATAAGGGCTCTCAGGAAGCAATTTAAAATTCCAGCTTGCATTGTGACTTTACACTTTTTTTTTTTTTTTTCAGACCGTGATATGGGTGCTCGCCATCGTGCTCGTGCCCATGCCATCCAGATCATGAAGGTTGAGGTGATCCCTGCAAACAAATGTCGTAGACCTGCCATTAAGCAGTTCCATGTAAGTGTAATATTCATTTAAAAACGTAGATATGAAGTGGACATTCAAAGAATTATTTAAAGAGAAATAGAAAATTGTTTTGTAATTGTATATCATGTTAGTCTTTAAGTCTTCAGTGAATTAGGTTTAAATAGGGGGTGGGAGGATAAAACATACATTGTGAAACATTAATTATTTTTTTCCCTTCAATTTAGGACTCAAAGATCAAGTTCCCTCTGCCACACAGAGTTCTGCGTCGCCAGCACAAGCCCCGATTCACCACCAAGAGACCAAACACCTTCTTCTAAACAAGGCAGAAATAAAAATTCTCTTGTTCTTTCGGCTAATAAAATTGTTTCAAAATTTGTTTGTATTTCTGTATCATTATACTAAATTCATTTATACAAAATAGTGCTTATAGGAGAACCAGTTGTCTAGCTACAAATCTAGCAGGGAATAATGCAAATAAGACTTCTAGTTGTTAGTTTTGTGTGTATTTAATACTTGCTGATGTGTTTTTGTCTGGAGGTTTTTATTTTAAAAAGTGCTGATTTCTAAAACTCTTTTCTAGCTGTCAGAGGTTTTCTTCAGCTTTTGTTGGCTCTAGAGCACATTGATCATCAATGGGAAGGTGAGCTAGTGACTCGGTACAAAGGTTTTTGATTGGTCAGGGCACTGAACATAGTGTGCTGGGGATAAAGGGAAGGGATAGCACTGGCTGCAGATACCTGATCTGCAGCTTTTATGTCCCCAAAACAAACATGGAGGAAAAATACATAACCTACTTCTTCGTTTTGGTTTTATGCCTTAATTGGGTGGGGACACACTGATCTAACCAATCGGTGTCTTATAGCTAGGGATTGTTTGATCCCAGGTCACTTTGGATGTGCATTATGCATGGTAATGACTGGCACGCTCTCCTTGTTAAAGTACCACTATAGTGCCAGGAAAACATACTTTTTCCTAGCACTATAGTGCCCTGAGGGTTCCCCCACCCTCAGGGTCCCCCTTCCGTCCGGCTCTGGGGAAAGGAAAGGGGTTAAAACTTACCTTTTTTCCAGCGCCAGGTGGGGAGCTCTCCGATCCTCCTCTCCTCCCATTTGGCAAGAGCTGCGCGGCTGGTCTCATCAGGAGAGATAACCTTGATAATATACAATGTTCCCTTAGAGATGGCTACCAGAAATTAAACCTAATGGCTGCACATGCCGCAGCTCTTGCTGTTCGGTGTAGTGCTCAAAATGTGGTCACAGCCAGCTTGGGCTTCGATTTTTCTTTTTACATATATTTTTGCATAAACATTTAAAATTATATTTATTGAAATATTAATCTTTTTAAAAATATTAACTGATTTAAGGAGTAGACTGGATGGGATGCAGACACTAAGGGACCTAGGAGAGTTGCCAAAACAGTTTGACTACTTACTGTGCTTAGGGGATTCTTCTAAGGCTTGGATCAACAAATTTGCACACATAACCCAAAGTTCATTATTTGCCTGTGTAATGATCTTGTCTGATGTGCATACATTATCAGTATCTTGTCGCCTTTCAAGAGCTCACATGCTTTTGAAAGTGAATATGAAGATACTACACATAACTTGGTTGACTAGGTGAGGGAATAACCTGAATGGACAGAAGGTAAGGTCATGCAGCTGGCTGTGGGCCGGAAACAGTGGGCAGTGACCCTAATGTCTGCACGGTGCCTTATGCACACTGGTGGCCACTATGTATGATCCCATTATATACATATTATTGGATATACACAATCAAGTGCTACTAGGCAGTTTTTATGTAAATCTACTTGATTCTTTCATGCAAAGTGTTTAGCTATGTCACATTAGCCAATGTGCATACTAACTAAACTCATTCTTAAAGAAGATCTGCACATGAACACCTAGGCATCCAGTCCCAAACAGAATCCCTGGTGGCTCTTGCCACTTCCCTGTGTTTTGGGGGGCTCTTAATTGGCATATGTCCAAATATACTGGTGGGGGGGGTGGGTGGGTGGAACGGTCAGCTCTTCCTGGACTTTCCCCTCATGAACCCTGTAGTGTGCCAGCAGCCTGTAAATGCACTTCATGGTGAAGATGGGAGCTATGCAGGAAGAGAACAGTGAACCCAGGAGTACCACTGAACCCCAGACAGAAGATCAACTCCAGCTCACTTAAGCAAATAGCTCCCTAATTTGGTATCTTTAATTATGACCATACTGATTGATTATAGCAAATTAGGCAGTTATCTTCTAAGCTGCTGAAAGATTAAAATAAAGAAACTTGCTCCCTAAGTTGGTATCCTTATGTAGGATTGCTGTATTTAAGAATACAAAATGAGCTATTTAGCAGACGGCTCCTGTGGTATGCTTATACCTACGTCTATCCTGATGCTCACCTTCAAGACTTCTAGGCCTTTTCCATTTCACACTCACCCAGTCTCCACTCCTTAAAATAAAAATCATTAAAGGACCACTCTAGGCACCCAGACCACTTCAGCTTAATGAAGTGGTCTGGGTGCCAGGTCCCTCTAGGATTAACCCCCCCTTTTTTTTAAAAATATATATAAACATAGTTTCAGAGAAACTGCTATGTTTATAAATGGGTTAATCCAGCCTCCAAATCCTCTAGTGGCTGTCTCATTGACAGCCGCTATAGGCGCTTGCATGCTTCTCACTGTGAAAATCAATGTAAATGCTTTCATATGAGACCACGCATGCGCATTCAGCCGAGGAGGAGAGCTCCCTGCCCGGCGCTGGAATAAAGGTGAGTTTAACCCCTTTCCTCGCCATCCAGCCCGGCGGGAAGGGGTTCCTGAGGGTGGGGGCACCCTCAGGGCACTATAGTGCCAGGAAAACGAGTATGTTTTCCTAGCACTATAGCGGTCCTTTAACTTTCACAAAAACATCAATTAAACTGTTAATGGCTCGCAACTGATTCTTCTCCTGCATCTGTCATAAAAAAATCCCACACTAAGTCTTCAGTGAATACTAATCTACCAATATACTTCCCTTACCTTTTGTCAGTTTACTCCATTCTAGCACAGTGGTTCTTAAGCTAGTCCTTATGGCCCACCAACAGACAGCCATTAGACGCAATTCCGGGCCCAAAGGTGAAGTTTGGTTGCCTAAATGACGCTGGACGTTCTCACGCTATGTATGAGGACTTCCAGCATCACTGGAATCCCCATTATGGGGAAATGCGAGCAATGAGTGAAGGCGGACCTGAGTCAGCGCCAAGGGACAATGGCGCTGGAACCCCAGTAAGTGATAGAGGTTTTTTTTTTTATGGCACTATAGCTTCCCTTAAGGATAACAAATTAGGGAGCCACTTACTATTTTAATTTTTTTTTTTTTTTAGATCTATATAAATGTCTTCAATCCATTTGCAGACATGGTGTGTGTGGCCTCCTTGTAGAAAAAGTTTGCCAACCACTGACTTGGACCATAATAGTTAATTACATATTCTCTAAATTGGTTATAACATGGGTGCACAAAAGGTAGATCCCCATATGTAGAACGATCGCTTCCATGATGCTTTGTCATTCTAAAGGCATGCAAAGAATCATGGGAGTTGTCTACCTTTTAGGCACCCCGAGGTATAGTCACGTGGCAGAAGTGCACCAATATAAATTCATTGTTTGAGTCCTACAACCAGACTTCACAACACGTCCAGGTAATGGGGCTGAAGCATTGATTGTATTGTTTCACTTCTGCTTAATGTATTCCTTCAGACCTGAGGAAAAGTGGAAAACTCTTACAAAACTTGCCTGTAAAGTGTTATGTTGGTCCAGTAAAAAAGGCATCATTGCATACTGCAATATTCTGTTATTTTGGCATCACCTCTGCTTAAATGAATACTCCAAAGTTGAAACCAAAAAATTCATTGTACTTACCTTTTTCCTTGACATTACTCCGTCGTGGAGAGACTGTCATTGACAACATTCTCCACTTTCTGTCTGGACAGAATTGGTGCATAGGCAACCATTGCCAGAAAGAATGCTTCTCCTAGAGCTAGCCTAATGTTTCCCTATGGAAGCTCTCAATTCCACTTTAGTGATCGTTCAACTGGAGTACTCAGTCGCCGTGATTCTAGGACTGCAGGCTCTGAGCAGATCCTTACAGGGTCTCCATCCATCTCCCCACACCTATTTTGATAGGTGCTGGGCTTTGCACACTGCCCAAACCCGATCACAGTGTAATTGGCTGGGAAAGCACGCTTCATTCAATATTACAGGACAATGTTCCTGTAATACTGAAAAAAGTCTATAGATGGTGGCAACATACCACTTTTTACCATTTTAACTAGGAAAGCAAGTATTGAGCCCCCTAATCTATGGACTGATTGCACTCCCAGAATCCTTTAACAAGCACCTAGATAGCCTCGCTCCTCCTTCCCTATCGCCTCACCCTGCACACTTCAGGCAAATCAGATTGTATATACAAAGAGGACTTTCCAACTGGAATGGGTGAGATCTGCCCAATAAGGGATTACATTGATACCAAAGCATTTGGATCAGGGGCGTACCTAGAGCATTTGGCACCTGGGGCGGAAAACACACACAATTTTTTTCAATAATATTTATTGCACAAATTTGTAAACTGTATATCAACTTGAAAAAAATGGAACTATGAAAAATAAATTAACTTAGAAATAAATTAAATTTAAATAATTAACATTTACTTAAAGGACCACTCTAGGCGCCCAGACCACTTCAGCTTAATGAAGTGGTCTGGGTGCCAGGTCCCTCTAGGATTAACCCTTTTTTTTTATAAACATAGCAGTTTCAAAGAAACTGCTATGTTTATAATAGGGTTAATCCAGCCTCTAGTGGCTGTGTCACTGACAGCTGCTAGAGGCGTTTGCGTTCTTCTTACTGTGAAAAATCACAGTGAGAAGACGCAAGCGTCCATAGGAAAGCATTATGAATGCTTTCCTATGAGACTGGCTGAATGCGCGCGCAGCTCCTGATGCGCATTTAGCCGAAGAGGAGGAGAGCTCCCTGCCTGGCGCTGGAAAAAAGGTAAGTTTTAACCCCTTTCCTCTCTCCAGAGCCCGGTGGGAGGGGGACCCTGAGGGTGGGGGCACCATCAGGGCACTATAGTGCCAGGAAAACGAGTATGTTTTCCTGGCACTATAGTGGTCCTTTAACAGCTAATACTCTTTCTATAAACAAAAAAACACACAGATCCAAAGTGACCACTCAGTCTATTCGGCAGAGGTAATTTGCAATCATTCACATCCGCTGCCTTCGAGCCTTCTGTTTCTGCAAATTTATCGATTACATCATCAAAGCCAATCTTCCTTGCATATTCATGCTCAATTGAAAGTATAGCCAGATTTGTCAACCTTGTCTTACTCATGGTTGAGCGAAATATATTTTTTATCAATTTTAATTTGGAAAAACTTCTTTCACATGAAGCAACAGACACACAGAGAGTCAAAAAGAATCTTAAACACAGTGACAAATTTGGCAGAGATTCACAATAATCCCATTTAACAATGAACTCCAGGAACTGCAATGCCATCCATTTCTTTGCTTCTTCAACACTGATCTTGGCAGCTTCCAAATGCCTCCGAAGACGTTCAATTTCCCTAAAGATGTCTTCATTAGAGAATTCGTCAAAAATCTCAGTCAATTTTGGGGTATAATTATGAATATCTTTCTCTGTTGCCACAACCAGAGAGTTTGGCTGAATAACAGCAAACATTGAAAGGATTTTTTAAATTGCCTGGGAACGAATTTCCAACTCCTGGTTAAAACGATCAAGGCACTCAAACATAGCCCTTTTCATTTCCTCTGGCAATTTGAGACCAGCATCCTTTGCCTTCTCTCCTGGCATTGTTTTATGGAGCTTTACTCTCCCTCTTCTTTCCATAGACATGTCCATTTCTTTACACGTATTAGTTGCATAACAAATGGCCTTCTCCACTATTTCACTGCGCTGATCTGCTAGAAACGCTTTAAAACCTTGTAGTTTCACAATGCACTTTTCAAGAGTGAGTCCGACTGTTTGCAAATATTTCTGTGTGACATTAACTTTTTCTAGAACTTCACACCAGAAAGAAATTTAACACAAAAAAGAAAAATCACATACGGCAGACAGCAACATATGAGCCGGTCCTCTTGTGTCCACATTTTCTTTGGGATTACACAATTTTTCAAGGGCTGAAGTCAGTTTTTCAAAATTTGCCCTCACTGGCTTCACAGCATCATAATGAGTGCTCCATCTTGTTTGTGAAAGTCTTTTCACTGTCACACCTAAATTCTCCATCAGCAATTCCCAATGATGTGTAGAAACCGAAAAAAAAAAAAAATACACTCTCTCCAATGTTCCAAAAAAAGGTCACACAGGAAACAACACTTCAAAATGAGTGCACCCCACATAGGTTCAGGGAATGGTTTGCACATAGCATAAACAAAGCCTTGGGATTAATCTTTTTTATTTTTGCTTGAACACCACCATGAATCGCTGCCATGGTTGCAGCATTATCATATCCTTGACCATGGCAAAGGCTTATGACTAGTCCATCTTCCTCCAGATGTTGCAGGATATTTTCTGTGAGCTCAGCAGCAGTCTTTTCAGCAACAGGAAAGAAGCCCAAGAATGATTCCTTTACTTCAACATGGTCCCCTTCAATATGAACATATCTGATCACTTCACACATCTGGTCAGTGTGGGACACATTAGGGGTGCTGTCAAAAAGAATTCCAAAGTACTTTGCTTTCTTGATATCAGCCACTATTTTGTCCTTCACATGATTTCCCAAAAGACAAATTAATTAGTTCAGAATTTTTGGAGAGCGATAGGAAGTCATTCTCTTTCCAGATGCAACAGCATGTTTCAGCCTCATGAAATGTTCCTTTAAAATGGGATCATAGTTTGAGAGCAATTCTAACAATTCCAGTAAGTTGCCTTTGTTTGCGAATGACATGGTCTCTCTGTGACCACGAAAGGGAAGATTCTGGTGAGCCAGAAACAAAGTTACATCCAAAAGGCGATGCAAAATATTTCATTTCCTTTTCTCTCTGTCCACTGTTGTTTGATGGACATGATCAAGGCATTTTTGTAGCTTCAATCCTGCTGTCAAGGTCTTCCATTTCTCCAAGCAGGTAAGATGCTGCTCAGAAGCCTCATGATCAGACACCTTTGGGTTCAGCTTCCACCACAATTGAAACCCAGTAACAAAACTGGATGTCCCTGTTACTTTGTCATCAACAGCAAAAAGTCTGCAGCAAAAACAAAACAAACACCATCCACGTTCTAAGAATTTTTTCGCCATTAGGCAGAGCCTTATAGAACCATGCAGTGGTCAGCTGTTGACTCCTCCCTTTTGATTTCTCTCCTTGCCTTTCAACAGGACTGAGTGGCCCATCTCTATTTTGGAAAGGTTCACTTCCCCTCTTAATAAGGTGCACTCTTAAAACATCTGGAACTGGAACTGGCCAAGCAGCAACATCAGAATAAACCGACAGTTGAACAGTCTCCTCTTCTTCATCATCAGAGTCTTGCTGATGCAGGCTTCTGCTGGCATCTCCTTCGTCTACATCGCTTTCACCACTTGAAGATAAAATGATCTTCTCCAATTCTTGCGCTTTCACATATGAAGCTTCTTGAGAAGATACTTCAGGCATTTCACCTCTGGATTCAACAGACCGAATGTCTTCAGCACTTTCTCCTACTGCGGTAGATGTTGAAGGTGCAACATATTTTAAAATTGATCCAGACATCGCCTCAGCTGACTTTTCTCTTGCCTTCTTAATTTTTTGTTGCTGAGACCCGCTTGGTCGATTTCGCTTAATATTGGTGTTTTCTGCAGAAAAATCCTAAATTTATTTTGGTTCTAGGGTTCACTAGTGCAATATCCATCTTATATTTCCCATCTTGGCATACCATTTGTAAAAGTAGACAACCCAGGGTATATAAAGGGACACTATAGTCACCCAGACCACTTCAGCTCAATGAAGTGGTCTGGGTGCCAGGTCCCCCATATTTTAACCTTTCAGATGTAAACATAGCAGTTTCAGAGAAACTGCTATGTTTACATAGCAGGGTTAAGCCAACCTCTAGTGGCTGTCTTCCTGACAGCTGCTAGAGACGCTTCTGCAATGCTGGACGCAAAAATCGCATCCTGCTTGCAGAACGTCCATAGGAAAGCATTGAGAAATGCTTTCCTATGGACTGTTTGAATGTGCGCGCAGCTCTTGCTGCGCATGTGCATTCGGCTCCACTCGGGAGCTGCCGTCGGCGGGGGAGGAGAGGTCATCAGCGCCGAAGCAGCCCGGCGCTGGATTAAGGAAAGTGGCTGAAGGGGTTTTAACCCCTTAAAACCCATTCAGCCACTTACCTTTCTCCAGCGTCGGGCTCCCTTGGCGCTGGTGACCTCTCCTCCCCCGCCGATGTCAGATCCGAATGCGGCAAGAGCCGTGTGCGCATTCAAACTGCCCATAGGAAAGCATTACTTAATGCTTTCCTATGGACGTCCAGCGTCTTCTCACAGTGAGTTTTACAGTGAGAATTGCCGAAGCCCCTCTAGCGGCTGTCAGTGAGACAGCCACTAGAGGCTGGATTAACCCTCAGTGAAACATATGGTTTCAGCTGCAGGGTTAAAACTAGAGGGACCTGGCACCCAGACCACTTCATTGAGCCGATCCTTAGAAATAGCATAGGAAAGGGATTTGGGTTCAAAAGATGTAGCGGCTAGGGCAGAGGTTTTGTAGAAGGGGGCCAGTGCTTTTGTAGAAAGGGGCTTGTGAGAAACTTCTATAAAACTCCTCCCCTGCTCATTTATTTATTTATTATTGCCATTTATTTAGCGCCAACAGATTCCGTAGCGCTTTACAATATTATGAGAGGGGATTTAACTATAAATAGGACAATTACAAATAAACTTACAGGAACAATAGGTTGAAGAGGACCCTGCTCGATCGAGCTTCTTTCTACAAAGCCCCTGGTCTCGCCCCTTCTAGAAAACCCCTGCCCTTCGCCCTTCATAAAAAAAACCTGCACACTGATCACATAAATTTCATACACTCCCTACACATAAAAACCCTGCACACCCCCTTTAATAAAAAACAAAAACCTGCACAACCCCCTTAATTAAAAAAAATCTTGCACACCCCTCTTAATAAAAAAACCTTCACACCCCCTTAATAAAAAAAAACATGCACAACCCTCTTAATAAAAAACCCTGCACACCCCCTTAATAAAAACCCTGCACACCCCCTTAATAAAAAACAAAAACTTCCACAACCCCCCTAATAACAAAAACATGCACACCCCCCTTAATAAAAACCATGCACACCCCATAATAAAAAACAGAAATCTGCAGTGCACATCCTCCCTTAATAAATAAAATACTGCAACCCCCTTAATTAAAAAAAACCCTGCACCCCCCTTAATAAAAAACAAAAACCTGCAGTGCATATCCTACCTTAATAAATAAAATACTGCAACCCCCTTAATTAAAAAAAACCCTGCACACCCCCTTAATAAAAAACAAAAACTTGCACAACCCCCCTAATAACAAAAAACATGCACACCCCCTTAATCAAAACCCTGCACACCCCATAATAAAAAACAAAAATCTGCAGTGCACATCCTCCCTTAATAAATAAAATAATGCAACCCCCTTAATTAAAAAAAAACCCTGCACCTCCCTTTAATTAAACCTACCCCCCTTTAATTAATCCACCCCCTCTTTAAATAATCCACCCCCCATTAATTAATCACCCCCTCTTTAATGAATTCACCCCCTATTTAATTAATCCAATCCCCCTCTTTAATTAATCCACACCCTTTAATTAAACCTCCACCCCCCTTTAATTAATCAACACCCCCTCTTTAATCCACCCCCTTTAATTAAACCTCCACACCCCCTTTAATTAATGCACCCTCCTTTAATTAAACCTCCAACCCCCTTTAATTAAACCTCCAACCCCCTTTAATAAATCAACACCCCCTCTTTAATCCACCCCTTTACTTAAACCTCCACACCCCCTTTAATTAATCCACCCCCTTTAATTAAACCTCCATCCCCCTTTAATTAATCCCCCCTTTAATTCTTTAATTAATCCACCCCCTCTTTAATTAATCCACACCCCCCCTTTACTTAAATCTCCCCCCTTTAATTCTTTAATTAATCCCCCTTTTAATTAATTCAGCCCCAGACATAAAATAACTACTTACATTTTGATGATGCCTTCCTTGCCTCCGAGTCCGACCACTGGGTGCCTCACCGCCCGTCTTTTTCACTGGTTTTTCTTTTTTTCTCTTTTGCTTATATTTTTGTAGTGAGATATTTACAAAACCATATGTTTTTTCCAACAGAATGCATTATACACCGTGTAACCTAGGATCATAGGAAACCTGCAAGGGATTTTTATCACTGGTTTTTATATATATGTTTAGCACTTATAAGGATGCATACATGTATAATTCTATGCATCTTGTGATTTATGTATCTTTTTTTGGTTATGCAATTGTGCCTTTACTTTTTATTGTGAAAGTGAACAATATAAGTAATATAGATATACATCAGCTCTGCTAACGAGCTTAGTACTGTAAGAAAACATGCTATTACAGTACCTATACCTAAATAAACATTTGAAAACAAAATGTGCATCGTATTATGAGTGCGGTATCATATTTTATTATTATATTTATCTACGGTATATTTGTGGGCTACCTTGATACCAGCACCACTGCAGATGGCAGAGTGCCAATCCATATGGAAATATCATTTAATGTGTATAATCCATTGCTGCTATCAGTTCTGATATTGGCAGAGGGTTTCCTTAAAGGACCACTATAGTGCCAGGAAAACATACTCGTTTTCCTGGCACTATAGTGCCCTGAGGGTGCCCCCACCCTCAGGGACCCCCTCCCGCCCGGCTCTGGAAAGGGGTAATAACTTACCTTTTTCCAGCGCTGGGCGGAGAGCTCTCCGCCTCCGTTACGCCCCGCCGGCTGAATGTGCACGCGCGGCAAGAGCTGCGCGCGCATTCAGCCCGTCGCATAGGAAAGCATTTACAATGTTTTCCTATGGACGCTTGCGTGCTCTCACTGTGAAAATCACAGTGAGAAGCACGCAAGCGCCTCTAGTGGCTGTCAATGAGACAGCCACTAGAGGATTAGGGGGAAGGCTTAACCCATTCATAATTATAGCAGTTTCTCTGAAACTGCTATAATTATGAAAAATGGGTTAACCCTAGACGGACCTGACACCCAGACCACTTCATTAAGCTGAAGTGGTCTGGGTGCCTAGAGTGGTCCTTTAAGGCTAATGGTAGTGTAAGGGTAAGGCAAGGATTAAAGGAATCTATAGTGCCAGGAAAACAAACCCGTTTTTCTGGCGCTGTAGGCTCCTGCAGTGCCTCCCTCTCGCGCAACTGAAGGGGTTGAAACCCTTCCAGTCACTTACCTGAATCCAGCGCACAAGCCCCTCAGCACTGGGTCAGGCTCCGCCCACACTTCTCTACCGCCGGTGGGGGAGACCTAATGCGCATGCGCGGCAATGGCCGTGCTCGCATTAGGATTTCCCCATAGGAAAGCATTATTAATTTCCATGGGGAAAAATCTGACGCTGGAGGTCCTCATGCAGAGCATGAGGACATTCAACGTCAGATAACGGACCAAAGGTCCTTTTGGATTCTGGAAGACCCTCTAGTAGCTGTCTGGTAAAGAGCCACTAGAGGAGGAGTAAACCCTCAGAGGTAATTATTGCAGTTTCTCAGTGTCCTTTTAATTTTGTTTTTGGGTTAGGGATAGTGTAGGTTAGGTATATGGTTTGTTTAAGCATAGGGTAATGGTTATGATTGGTATAGCCTAAACTACCAAAAATTATCAAATTGATCAGAGATGGGAACCAAGCTGTCACCCATCACAGGCTTAATGGAACACTATAAAGTCAGACACACAAACGTATTCCTGATCCTATAGTGTCAAAACCACCATCCAGCTCCCTTGGCCCCCCTTAATATAGCACAATCTTACTTTTATTCCAGTCTGCTGCTGCTGGCCTGCCCCTGATCTGCCTGCTTGGCTGACATCATCAGGAGTGTGGATCGACGCCAGTCACAATGCTTTCCCATAGGAAAGCATTGGATTGGCTGAGATTGTTAAGGAGGCAAGCTAAAGGCAAATACTGGCAAGCAACAGCCTAAGCCCCCAGCCACAGATAACACCTCAATATATTCCAATATATCTCTAGGAAACCAGTTGATGGAGAGTGAATTATTTCCTGTGCAATGCTTAGTGAATATTCGCTAGACATGCAGAGCTATAAATATATACAGTAACCTATGGATGTATTGCATACAGAGACGTGGATTTAATAACATATATTATCCTGTAGCAACAGATAACTGGGCAAGCTTCCCTTGATGGCTCTTTTGGTGAGAAATGGCAAGGAAATCGAGGTGAAGAATTAATAAAAGGCCCACAGGTGTAATTAGTACATCTGGAGATACCTTGCCTAACTCTCACCTGCAGTACCAGAGAGAAGGAGACTTGTCATAGATACAGGTAAATAAGGGTTAAAAGGCCTTTTTGCCTTAGTTAAAGGGACACTATAGTGACCCAGACCACTTCAGCTCAAGGAAGTGGTCTGGGTTCCAGGTCCCTCAGGTTTTAACTCTTCAGATGTAAACAGCAGTTTCAATGAAACTGCTATGTTTACATTTCAGTGTTAATCCAGCCTCTAGTGGCTGTCTTCATGACAGCCGCTAGAGGCACTTCTGCGACGCAGGATGCGAAAATCACATCCAGCGTGCTGAACGTCCATAGGAAAGCATTGAGAAATGCTTTCCTATGGACTGTTTGAATGCGCGCGCAGCTCTTGCCACACATGCGCATTCAGCTCCACTCGGGAGCTGACGTATGCGAGGGAGGATAGGTCACCAGCGCAGAGGGCGCTGTATTAAGGTAAGTGGCTGAAGGGGTTTTATCCCCTTCAGCACCAAGTGAGGGGGCCCTGGGGGTGGGGGATCCTAAGGGTTGTATAGTGTCAGGAAAACTAATTTGTTTTCCTGACACTATAGTGATCCCTTAAGTCTTTCCACGTCTGCAGGGGTTAAAAGCAAGAATTTTCTCTCTTGGCTGCAATCGGTACTCCCTTTTCTCTTTCTCAGGGCAAGCACAACCTCCCTTTTCTCTGTCTCACAGGCCAAGATAACCTTTGCATAGTTTAGAGAAGACGTGCTAAACATACACAGTGGATTTCCTGTAATAAGAAATGTTAGATGAATAATTATACTTTTTGCACTAAACATCTATGGTTGGTTGATTTTGTCTTCTGTTGGAGATACCCCTATGTAAACTGTGTTTGTTTCATATATACACTGTACCTGCATTAAAAATCTTTTTTAAAGAAAAGACACTTCTTTCTTAAACTTCATAATGACTGGTCTGCTTTAATTGTACATTAATTGTTCGCTGCAGTGAACATAAAAAAAGATTAAGGAAAGCAGGGTGTGTTAACAGCATAAGTCCATGGCAGCTTAAAGGGCCACTATAGGCACCCAGACCACTTCAGCTTAATGAAGTGGTCTGGGTGCCAGGTCCATCTAGGGTTAACCCTGCCTGCTGTAAACATCTAACTGACAGCCGCTAGAGGCACTTCCCACTGTGATTTTCACAGTGCGAAGACGCTGACGTTCATAGGAAAGCATTGAGAAATGCTTTCCTATGGACTGATTGAATGCGTGCGCGGCTCCTGGAGAAAGGTAAGAGTTTAACCCCTTCCTCCCCCTTCAGCCCGCGGGGAGTGGGACCCTGAGGGTGGACCCAAAGACCCTACAGAGCCAGGAAAATTAGTTTGTTTTCCTGGAACTATAGTGGTCCTTTAAGGGTTTCCAGACCCTGTAAAATTCTTAGAGCCTAACACTGGTCAAGCTGTGACCCATCACAGTTGAGACAAGCAAGTTGCAAGTCAACGCAATCAACAACTCAAAAGCGCATATAATTCTGTATAATGTCCTTCCACAGACAGCAGCAGGTCAGTGTTATCTAACTGATACCTGCAATAAAGAGACATTAGGATAGAAAATAAGGGACTGTCCCTCCCACATAGAGACACTTGGCAGGTTTGTATTCTGGGACATATGGCTGTTATAACCTTCAGATTTAGCTATCACGTGGTAAATGGAGTTTCCAGAATTATAGAACACGTTTAGTTCACTCTTTAAAACATAATGTAAAAGAAATGAATTAAACACCTGAGAAGTTACACGTGGTAATAAAGCCCCCTCGCTCTAGAGGCGACAACACAATAACACGCGGTGTCTTTCTCTAGCGCTTAGAACTCTGCGCCTGCCATTCCTCAAGGCGTCACTTCCGTCGCCGCACTTCCGGTTTGGTCGCATGTGTCAGGTAAACATCCGGTCTGTGCTCGCTGTCAGTCTCCCCGGGGCCGAGCCGTGCCGTGCCGTGCCGCATGGTAGCGCCCAATGGTCCGGGCGATGTTCCGGCTGGCCCGGGGTTGCTGCAGGGCGAGGAGGAAGATGCTGACGAGCCTTTTATCATGTCTGTCTCCATGGTGACGCCGCTGATGACGTCCAGCTCGGTGGCGGTGGAGCAGAGCGTCCTGCAGACCTTCTTCACCCACCTGGGCAACTTCTCCTCCGACAAGGCCAAGGACAGCGCCGAGAAGGAGAAAGAGGCCAACAAGAATGCCGGGGCCTCCTGGTCCTCCATGCTGGCAGCCCTGGCTCATCTGGCAGCGGCCGAGAAGGCTTATCACAGCATGAGCTTCCTGGGGCAGAAACCGGGTAACTTCACCCCCACATCTTACCGGTCATAGGCAGGACCCCCCACATGTCATAGCCAGGACCCCCCCACATCTCATACCGGTCATAACCAGGACCCCACATCTCATACCGGTCATAGCCAGGACCCCACATCTCATACCGGTCATAGCAAGGACCCCCAACATCTCATACCGGTCATAGCCAGGACCCCCAACATCTCATACCGGTCATAGCCAGGACCCCCCACATCTTACCACTGACAGGCAGGACCCCCCCCACATCTCATACCGGTCATACCCCAGGACCCCCACATCCCCACCGTCATAGCCAGGACCCCCCTCATGTCCGGACCCCCATCTCGCCGGTTATGAATAGGACCCCCATCATACGGTCATAGGACCCCACATCTCCCCGTCATGGGACCCCCCCATCTCATACCGGTCATAGCCAGGACCCCATCTCCGCCGTCCCCCCCACATCTCATACCGGTCATAGCCAGGACCCCCCCACATCTCATACCGGTCATAGCCAGGACCCCCATCTCATACCGGTCATAGCCAGGACCCCCAACATCTCATACCGGTCATAGCCAGGACCCCCAACATCTTACCACTGACAGGCAGGACTCCCCACATCTCATACCGGTCATAGGCAGGACTCCCCACTTCATCCCAGTGCAGAGGGACATAAGCGCAAGAATCGGCTAAATGAAAGTTTTTTTTTTTTTGTTTTTTTTTTTACCATTTCATGGGTGGGGAGTTGTGCGCAGTGTTAGAAATACATCTTCCGAAAACTAAAGTGTTCCTTTTAATTCTTACCACTGCTTTTCCTAATGGTGCCGTGTTATTTCTCTCCTCCAGGTGGCCAATCGTTCTTCAGCCGAAAAGATTCCATCAGAACCAATTACACATCACTGTATAATGAACTCAAGAAGGTTGCAACCACTGGTAGAAATGCCATTGGTGGCACTGCTCCACAGTTGGAAGAACTGCTCTCCCACATTTCAGAGCAGCTGTGTTACTTTGTTCAGGCTCGAATGGAAATTGCTGACTTTTATGAGAAAATGTATACACTGAGCAATCAAAAGTTCATCAATGCAGAGGAGCTAGTCAATATTTTGGAAGTCATTTTAAAAAAGTACGACTCAAGGTATGTGCTATAATTAGTGTCTATAGGGGTGCATTAAATCGGCATTAGGGTGTGTAGTTGTTCTTCCCATGCAGGGCAAATCATATAGGAGTAGGTGGTAGGAGGGAACCAGTGGTGTAACATACTAGGGATCACGATTCCCCCTGGTGTAGGTAATATGTAATTTACTTAAATAAAATAAATAATATTAAGCAGTGCTTTGTAACGTTTATCTTTGATGCTTGCTGTATCCTTTGCTTAAGTATCAGGTGTTAAGCCAAGCAGGACATTGTTAGGGCTCATTGACCTCATTCATGAAAATAATACAAAAGGACAGTGTTACTTATGTGTTTGACTTTTAAGGAGACATCACTAAAATACGTTTATATGCAGCTCTGTCATGGTCATGTGTTCTTCCTTGACCAAAAACAATGCTACAGAACCCCAATTTCAGTACATCATAGCCCTTCCTGGTGTAAAATAGTATGGAAGAGAATACGGAGAGACATTGTGGATTAGACCAAACAAAACTGAGATGCATTTGAAAGGTTAAACCTAATGTGGCCATTATATGTAACGTAATCTTTATCTAGAGAGAGATGGATTTATGTAAAGACTAACCCATAACTCACTTGGTGTCTGATCCGCTTGGGTGCTAAAAAACTAATTCAGATGATTTATGGCTTTGTAACTAAAGCTATATAATTTTTTTTTTTCTGTAATGATGCTAGTTATTGTTTTTAGGTTTTCTGTTACAGTAAACATCACTCAGAAAATGAAAAGGTGTTTTATTATTCATTCAATATATACGATTGTGTTTGTATGGAGTGAACTTTGAATATTCAATCTAACACTGTGATTGTGGCATTTTAAAGGACCGCTATAATCTCCCTCTCAATGAAGTGGTCTGGGTGCAGTTGCCCTGTCATTTTTCTCCTGCAAGGTAAAACATTGCTGTTGAGGATATATATGGCAATGATTACATTGCAGAGTTAAACACTTCCTGACATCCACTAAAGAACCCACAGTGATTACCAAGTCTGACTTAATTCTTAAACACACTCCAGGCACCATAACAACTTCACCTAAATTTAGTTGTTATGGTGCCAGGATGCCCCAGAGCGCACACTTGCCTTAAGGGGTTAAACTGTTCAGATGATATTCTTAGCCAAACAGGGACTCCCCATTAACAAAACTGGCTTGAAAAAGATACCTTTCTTTTCAAGCCAGTTTTATGAATGGGGAGCCACTAATTGGCTGAAAGCATCACCTGTCCTTTTTAAAATGGTTTAACCCCTTATGGTAAGAGTGTGGTCCGGGGACTCCTGGCACCATAACACTTGTTTAGATAAACTTGTTATGATGCCTAAAGGTACCTAAACTATCCCTTTAAATGATAGAAGCATTTGATTGGTGCATTGCGGTGATTGTCACGCATGCACATTAATTTGACAGTACTTCTCAATGAGAAGCATTGGATTTGACAAAATGATCATCAAGCCTGATGATCTCAGCAGAGGTAGAGACGAGGCAGCCTCAGACCTAGATTTCAGTTAAGTAAAGAGTTAATTTAATGATTTATTTACTTTATTTTTACGTAAAAAAAGTTCTGAAATCTAAACAGCCTGATTTACTGTTAAAAAAAAAAAAAAAAAAAAAAAATATGCATCCCCCTCTATTGTTCTTTTAAACTCAGTCTATGCTACTCTCTCTGTTTTGTAGGTTTCACCATCCAATACTGTCCCCACTAGAAAGTGGCTTTCAGCTAGAAGTCGACGTTCTCTCACATCTACTGAAAGCACAGAGTCTGATATTTGAATGGAAATTTCTCTTATCACTGGTAAATTTGCACAATGCACACACAAAGCTACAGACCTGGGTTCAAATATTTGAGAAGCAAAAGGAAACCAAGAAACATCTATTTGGAGGACAATCCCAAAAAGCTGTACAGCCTCCACATCTCTTCCTCTGGTTAATGAAGTTTAAAAATCACCTTGTAGCAAAGTTTAGCTTCTACTTTCATGAAGCTCTTAGTAGGCAGACATCTGAAATGAAGACTCTAACAGCTAAAACTAACCCAGACTACTTTGGAAAAATCTGTAGCTTTATTAGAAGATATGACGCTGTTAATGTATCCTTAATTTTTGACAACAGGGGTTCAGATAGCTTTCAAGGTCACGGTTATCACCATCCAGACTCATACAGAGAAGCTCCCAAAGGGGTAGACCAGTACCCAGCAATAGTATCATTACCCAATGACAGACCCATAATGCACTGGCCGAATGTCATCATGATAATGGCAGACAAGAGTCCTGACCTCAACACCTTGGAAAAAGTGGTCTACTTTTATGATGACAAAGTTCAAAGCACATACTTCTTGACACGTCCTGAGCCTAATTTTACGATCGTGGTTATTTTTGAATCCAAGAAGTCCGAAAGGGATTCTCACTTCATTTCTTTTCTCAATGAAATCTCACATTCCCTGAAAAGCTCAAGGGTATTTGCAAGCTTGAAGCCAGGGTCCAAGGGTTAAATTAAATCCTAGTTATAGATAGAAGAAAAGTATAGAATTGTCACCATAAAGGGATGTTATGTTATAGATTAAACACCTGCTAATTACATGAATATAACACGGAGAGTGATCTCAGGGGCTGTGCTAGTTCTCATTTTACTTATTTTATTGTAGTTTTTTTCTACTTTTCCCCCACCAGCAGAATATCAGGGCTCTCTATATTTCTAATTTCTCAGTATTAGGCCACACTCTCGCTGTTCTAGCTGGGGATAATATATAAAACTTCTGCAAATCAACCTTTTCACATTTGTCCATACGATTTTACAGACTTTTCACTGTCAAAAATATTATTGCTGCATTTCTGTTGTCAAATAAAGTGTTAAATAGCTGCAAAGATACTGACATACAAAGTGTCAGCAGATACTTGTAGCAAATCCAGATGCTCTCAGCCAAATGATTTAGAATGGTTCTGAGAATTGTAGTCATGGTACTAAGTTAGTGTTGAGTAGTGATTTGATTTTTGTTGATACATATTGAAAAGTTTTGTACCAGCATCTATTAAACAATAAAAAAAAAACCTCTTTAATAGAAAAAAAAAAACGGACCCTTAAACCAAAAGCTTCTGTTCAGAGGGACAATACCTGAGGTTTAAGAGATTTATGCAACTCTATTGAATATTTATACCCATGAACAATATCAAAGGTGACCTAAAAGAGGTGAAATAGGGATGTGGTTGTAGTTTTTTCTCTTTGATCTCCTTTTTTACCCCCCTTTAGATCTTATTTGTGTATCCACCATTATTATATTCCTGCAGAGTTCAGAGTGTTTTAATTTGTCACTTTAAAAGGAGTTCGTTTTCAAACATGTTGGAAAATTATAGCGTTACTGACTACCATACATTGTGGAGAAATTTCAATTCCTTTGTTAGTACTTTACAAGTCCCAGTTTAGTGGCTAATAAATGATGCTTAGATATCGAATTGTTGGTGTGGGGATCTAGTAAACGTGTATTTATTTTTTTTAGACTCTCACATACACCTGCTACACTTACTTCTGACACAGTAATCACCAAATTCAGTGCAGTAACGTTTTTTATTTTTCGTGGAACTCATCCTCTTGTTAAGAGTTTGATTTGTAGACCCGCTGCTATATCTGAGACTTTTTACCAGTTAATTTTATTTGTTGTATTTCTTAAACCATCTGTCTCTATGGATGTTGATGTCCCACCTAAGTTCTATTTATAATCCATATTTGAGAGTTTAAAATTGCCAAGTATATTTTTTACACGTTGACCTTCACAAGGTTTCTCTTCTTTTTTTTTAATCAGAATACTGAACTTTAAAATGTGTTTCTTAAGATGAATATTATCAAGTGGTTAAGAATATATGACTGCAATACCTTTAGAATAAAAATGTTTTTATTTTGTTTTGGTTTAACACGGGTATAAATGTGGACTGCACTAATGGGTGGGTGCTTAAGTCACTACATAAGCTGCTAAAATTAAATTCATATTGCAATTATTTTGCGTTTGCTTTATTTCAAGGATCTTTCATTCAATATACATGGAGAGGATTTCTGTAGTGCTGCCTAGGTTGCATTAACTGTCAGAGCAGTAAATAAAGATAAGTTATTAAAGGAAGTCTCCATACCCCATAACAACGTCATCAAAATGGCAGCTGGGAACTTTCTTACCTGAAGGGATTAAACCATTCTTCATCAGTTTAACCTCACCGGTTGCCTATAGCGTTGAATCTCCAGTTCCATCAGCGGCATCCAGCTTCTGATATTGTCTTTCAGGAAGCGCAGGGTCCTGCCAGGCAGGGGCACTGCTGATTGGCTCCAGCAGTTTCAGAACAGTTTAACCCCTGCAGGTGAGAAAGCAAATGACAATTTTCTAACACGATAGTGTATCTCTGCATTGACTCAGTGCTTTACTATTGGATCAAACTCCGTGAAACTGCAGGAAGCCCCCCCTAGTAGACAGCCACAAGAGGCAGTCTTAACACTGCAATATTGTTTTATATTGCAGGTTAAGGGAACAATGAGATGAAGCGGCCTATAGTGTCCCTGTAACATACATGGAACCCCACAAAACCTGTATGTAAAATCCCATTAATAATTATTCTATTGTAAGAACTCGATTACAGAAGCCTGATGTTGATTTCTAAACCTAATAGAAAAGTTATTCCCACATATTGATCTATTTACTTTTATTCAGCTAAAATCTCTTGATTTTTGCTAATAAAGTTCTCCTGACCGTCACTTTATTCACGATCAAACTGAAACCACATTATACAAATGGGTTCTCAAACGGATCACATTGCTGCAGTGATATTGGTTTGAAACTCGCCAACTTGCAGCTCAACTGTAACTTTAATGGAATATTGTAAGCACCATAACCACTGCTAGGCGCTGTAGTGATTGGTGCCAGTTTGACTTCTTAGCTGGAGTCCACCGGGTGCTACTCCCCGCCTCCACTACAGCTGACAGGTAGCCGTCGGGCTAGAGCTTAGCTCATTGGCTGATGCCGTCAGCCAAAAAGCTAGCCCTGCAGGCGTTACCTCTATGCTGGCTGTAGGGAATGTGGGTAGCAGCACCATGGAGGTGGGGCTGCCAGGGATCTTCTGGCACTATAGCCACTACAACACACTGTAGTGCTTATGGTATTTGGAGTGCTCCTTTAATGACATTTGAAATTCCCTGCTTTAAGAAGAAAAAAAATGTCTCTCAAAGTGGGGTGGCCAAAAATATTACCATAGAAGCAAACAAAATTACAATTATTTCTATAAATTAACAGCCAAACAAGCTAAACATTAAACAGGCAGATAGTGCAACTAGTCACCAGCAGGAGGAGCTAGAAACATGGCGTTATGAATACACATTTAAAATGTGTTTCAACATCATGTTTCAAGGTTGTCTTTTTTTTGTTTTTTTTGTTCAAATATACTGTAATAATAATAAAAGAAAAAAAAAAGAATTCCAGCCAGTCCTTTGCAATCCAGCGTCCTCTATTAATGTGTGCCAAGTGTACAAAGCAACATGAACCATCGTATAACACACTGAATGCTTTCATTATTATTCTACACAATATTTTGATATTGACTTTTTTGGGAATGTATTAATATGCAATAATGATGTAGCATAAATGCATTTTAGTGAAGATAATTTATTTCCACACTTTATATGCACTGTATTATGATTTGCACGTAACATATTTTACACTTCAATATTCTAATACACTAATATATATGGGTGCGTTAGTTTTAATATCATGTGATTTAATTTTATAAGACATATGATTTGACAGGACGTTTAGTAACTTTGACCCCTATTTCCTGCTTTAAGACTATATTTAATGCATTCACTGTGTGTTCTATATTGGCTTGACGAAGATCGTGGTTACCAGTCAAAATGATGCTTTGTGTACTTAGACAAACACTGTAATAAAGGGACACTGGAGTGTTAAATATTAGTTTTGGGACTTAGCCACTCCTCTCCATGTTTTATTCCATTATCTAAATCAATAAATGTGCAAATATAATAATCCATTGTGTACACCAACTTCCTATGGGTCTAGCGTGTCTACTAGAAGAAACAGGAGGGGTCCTACCTTTCACAGCCAGTCCTGGTCATCCCATTGTTCTCATTGAGAGTATTGTGTATATTCCGGAAATCCACGTGCAAGATACAATTCTGTAATACGTGCATTAATAAGGTGATAGAAGCTTGTATTGTCTTGTTATATACCGTTTATTTTTCATTAATGCATGTAGCAATTAGATGTTTAGATGATGTTGGGTTGTATTGGTGTCATATTATATGCTCATGGTTGTGGCTGTACAGTGATGTCAGTAAAGTGCAGCCATTGCTGTGTGATACTGATGACATCACCTACAGAAATAAAATGGCTAGATAACATAAATGGAGCTGATTTAGAAGGCATGACTAAAGAGCCCCCACTCTAAAAGTGTACAGGATACTATATTAGATGCCTGGATTCTCCTTTATGCTTTTACATATCTCCCTCCTGTGCTGATTCAGAAAGACCATTCTGATTTAGGAAACCTGTCCTGTCATCACTGGTTAATCACTGCACTTTTGGGGTATATCATTTGGTATGTCATCTTAAGTTTCATCTCTAATGAAAGTAAAACCCTATTAAGAACATTACTCTCGTGACATAAGGTACATCATTTACACTCCCTGTCTTAGTGACATCCACTCCCAATTGGTAAGGATCAAAAGGGAGAAATTCTACAGGTATCGTGGGCCTTATGTAAAACAACCACTCATTTCCAGTTTTTTTCACCAGTTACAAAACATGTTGCAAAAGTACAAAAAGATCTATCAGCATCCCACCGAGGAGTCGAGAGCAGGTGCCTTCTGGGAAAACGTTCTCAATACGAGAAGTGGTAAATGTTGAATTTATATGTTTTTATGTAGTATTTATATTTGGGTTGAGAGTGGCAAGGCTCCAAATACCAAATATTTTTATTAAAATGAGAATTTAAGGTGAATTTGAAAAAATAAGGTTAAAATTGGCTTTAAATATAAAATGCAGTTTAAATTCTCGCTTTAGTATATAATCCTGTTCGTAAGTATTTTGTGATTGTCCGCTTGGAGACAGGGCCCTCAAAATCTACGTCTGTTTCTGGCTCTCACATTAGGGCCTTTTATAACCTTTACTTAGTATATTTAACACCGAGGAATTTAACATAAACTAAAGCAGCAGTAATATGACCTTGAGAGCATCCATGAAAGACTTACTAAAACCAAGCATGTTATTTTCTTCAGTTACAAACGCTTTGATTTTTATAATCCCCGAGCCACATATGAGATTCTTGGCAGATTCTTTCCCACACAGAGCCAGGATATTACCTGTTCTGATAGTGACGGCTTTATTACTTAAACATTTTCGCACTGATGCTGTATATCAAACCTTCAAATTAATGTGAAAGTGCTTTATGGTTTTCATCTACAGTTAGACAAAAAGTAGCTAAGGGGCGGAGCCTGGCAGCCATCCTGTTAAGACGCCATCTAAAACTGCTCTCCCGAACCCGGAGAGAATCGGCCTAATACCCGCCAAACGAAGCTTTATCGTGCCCCAACAAGTACCCAGTACTGACAGGCACTAAGTACCGCACCGATCGATGCCTTTTTTCCAGGCACCCAAGCAGACCAGGCAGAAGCGCAAACCTGCGGCCTACCGTGCAACTCCAGTCCAAGACCTAGAGGCCTACCTCGGCGGCAGCCTCTGGGAAGACTACCCATCCAGTCGGGACACAGGCGCCACAGTCATGGGTCGCCGCTCTCACAAAACCACAGCTGGTCCCAACATACAAGGCAGAGACATAGGGGAGATGTGGCTCAGGCCTGCACAAACGGAGCCAGTACAGGCCGCGCAACGACTCTCTGCGGACCGAACACCCGAACCTGACGGGGGAGAGCCGGACGAGATGGCGGCCCCCCCGACGGGACACTCACTAACACCGGAACACCGGGATGACTCAGCCCCCGCTACTAAAGGGGACCTAAAAGCCCTCCTGACCAACATACAAAACCTGCTAGCGGCCGACGTCGCAAAGGTCAAGGCTGATATTCAAAGTGTGCAGGAGAGGGGTGGAACTGCAGAAGTAGACATCACCAACATTCAGGGCACAGTGTCCACCCTCACGGACTCAGTCAACCGACTCCAAGCAGAGCAAAACGTACTAGCAGGTCAAATCATGTCCCTGGAGGACAAACAACGACGGAAGAATATCAAAATCAGAGGTGTCCCCACTACAGTAACGATTGAGGAGCTACCGCATTATACGCGGAGACTGCTCACAACACTGCTACCCCAGGCATCCGCCAAGAAAATATCAATCGACGGGATATACAGAGTGACAAGCTCCACACACTTACCATCCAGCATGCCCAGGGACGTCATTCTGCGTCTGGCATCGGTACCTGACAAGATACAAATAATGACCGCCATTAAAGGCAAAACGCCGCTGGTATTTGAAGGCACTCAGCTCTCTTTCTTCCAGGATGTCACCAGAGCCACATTGTTAAAGAGGAAGACCTTTGGACCCGTGACCACCGCGCTGCGCAAAGCAGGCATTACCTACAGATGGGGGAACACTGGTGCCCTGCTCGTTCACCACAATGGAACTGCACACCACCTCACATCCCCAACTGGGGCCCCCACTTTCCTGAAGACACTGGGACTACAACCCCCACATCTCACCTCCACGACTGCAGGTCGACCAGAGAGCGGGGACCCAGAGGACTGCCTTACTCCTGGACAGCCAACACGAGATCTACAGACTCTGGACACTTGACTGGGCACGGGGACAATATGCAAGACATGGCCGAAACCGTCAAACGGAAGTCCCAGACATCTCTTGACACAGAGCGATAACTTCAAAGACTTCTAACTCCACTGTTTACTTTATATATATATATATATATATATATATTTTTTTTTTTTCTCCTTCACTGCCCCACTTGGGTCCGTCCTTTTTGACCTTAACGCAACCGCAAATACGGGGCCCCTACCCCTAGAGGAAAGGCAAACAACACCTCACGCACGATAGTATACAGGCGCTCACCACGACTAGCGCCACTCCGCCCACCCCACAACACCCCCAGGGATAGGGGGCTAGATGAGATGCCACACAGGGTACAGCTCAAACCGGAGCGCCTTACACACATGTTATCCCAACCACCCTGGTACTAGAAAGAGCTCCGCAGGCGAGTACACACAGGCATCCAGACCCACAACCCTAAAACCGCTTGCAACAATCATATACATGCTCCCACACACACAGACACACCGCAACCCGAACCAGGGAGCACCCACACACTCCCACACTTGTAGTACACCAGGGGTATAACGCCCACAATAATGAACCTACACAACCCAGCAGACCCCAGGTATGCCACCCAACATGATTGATATATGAAAATGTGCTTACAACCTTGAAATATCAATGTTAACATTATTTCATTGTACTGCTTTAAATTAGCATACCACTGTTTATGTATGATGCTGTTAACGTGCCAAACCAAGCTCACATAAATAAAGAATTAAAAAAAAAAAAAAAAAAAAAAGTAGCTAAGGATTTCTTTACATTTATTTATCTGAAAGTATCAAAGTTTGGTAAAAAGTGCAGCGTTATTCACTAAGTGCTTTATTTGTTAAACTCCAAAATGTAGAGAATAGTAAAGCACATTGTAAAAATTAGGTACCAATAGCTGATCTGGAAAAACCTCCAATTCTGCTATAATCACAACTTTTGCAATGCTACTTTTCAATTTGCAATAGTTGAAAGTTTAGTGAATAAACTTTCCTACAGGAAGAACTGTCAGAAATTCAAACAGGATCATTCACTGAACTGTGAACTATTGGGAATTCAAAGTGAATTTCACATTTTACCCTGGCATAGTCGGGACTAAAAATAAAATTAATTTTTTTTTCAGTTTTGGCTACTGTGGTTTAAATTGGAAATTCTCTTTGAATGCTTTGAACTTTCCCAACAATTAACTCTTCAGTGAATAAGCCTGTGACGTGCACAGCTAAATAACAATAATTACACTTATTTTATTAAAAAAACTGTACAGGGTGGCCCATAAGTCCCTACCCATCCAGCACACAGATACACTAGATACATAAGATATATGTATGGGTAGGGACTTGGGGACCACCCTGTTTATTAGATGTTTATCCATCACTCCTGCAGGGCCACATGAACATGTATTCAGAAGCAATATACAAAGTAAAGATGTTACCTAAAGGACTGCCCAAAACACTAATGTATTCTTAACCCCTTAAGGACACAACTTCTGGAATAAAAGGGAATCATGACGAAATATTTCAGTCATGTGTCCTTAAGGGGTTAAAAAGGTTAGTCCTATGATAATAAGGTTTCAGAACTTTCAACACTTACCCTGGGGCTTGGTTTCAGTCCAAGGGCTAATCTCCTGTAAAGTCGTTTACACTAATTAGCCATTCTTTCTCATTAGCTATTATCCCATGGGCTAAATTTAAGACCTTACTAAGGATATGGCTTGTGAATACAAATTAGCATAGGACTAACCTAAGAAGTTAATCTTGATGTGGACAGGTGAACTTATGCTCTATGGCCATACAGAGATATATTCATAAAACAAATTGACTGAAGTATGTACTTGGGATGGTGGACAGGTAGCTCCGTATTATTTAATAATGACCTTGCTAGTCAGGAAATCTTGCTCTATAAAGCATCCGGTAATAGGGAAACAGAGAAATAATGAAATGATATGACCATAATAAACCTTCAGACTGTACAACTCACTAACTGTTTGGTTATGGCAAGGTGAAAGGACTGAGTGCGTAATTCCACAAGTGAGGTTTATTGTCACCATTTAAAGATCACTGCAAGAGCCAGAGCAACTGTGAACGCTCTGACAAATGTGAGTTGTCCATTTTTTTTCACTGGACAACAAATTTCAGCTTTAGCATATTAAATGAGTTTGAAAGATTCTTGTGAATTTCTGTTTTTGACACAGTGTGTTCCACTTCATTTAAATCATATTTTATCCACTGTAATGATAGTCATAGGCTGTGTGAGCACTGTGGGTGGTTTATATAAAAATGGTATGATACAAATAAATAAATAGGGGAATAGCACCCAAAAATTCCATGCCACGCAACCACTTCAACAAAATGTTGTGGTTATGGTGCTTAGAGTGTTTCCCTCGATTTAATTTGCCTTTTTTTAGTTGGAAAAATACAGAAGACTTGTGAGCACACAAGAAATCTAACTCACTGTAGTCTGTCATTGTGATCTAATCTTTATGACCTATATGTCCTTCAAAACTGGTTAAAGGCAAACACACAGACAACCACATTTAACTGGGAATGATTGGAAATCGAGTAGGGGATTTGAAATTTAAGATAAAATGACAGTCTTTAATTCAGTTATTTTTCCAGACCAGCAATTTTGTTTAAAAATGTGAAATTCCCTGGCCAATCCCCATATTCCCAGTTTAGCAAATAACCTTGTGTGTAAACTTTGCAAAATTCATCAACAGTGGACGAGACAAAACCCCTAATTATTACATCTTGTCTCCATTTATACTCTATATGCCAAATAATGCATAGAATAGCCCCAACGTGATATTATGGTTTTAAAAGGGAGGCCAGGTTATCACAGATCTGATCATCAATATTTTTATTAGATGTGACACAAGCCGTTAGCATAGTAGAGTTAATATTTTATCATTGTTATATATATCTTTTACATGCGTTATGCTAGTGTACTTACAGTCACTGACCCACACCTCCAACCTCTTTTATATGTCTGACTAATCAAGCTTTTTACAGCTAATGCTAGTAATTTTACATATGTGCCGTTATCATCCAACAACATTGTTCCCTGAACAGATAATGACTAACAGTGGTGCTGCAAAATTCATTTTTTTTGTAAACATTCCCCATGATCAGTAATTGAGCATCATGGGAATTGTAGTCCATAAACATCTGTATTACCAAGATCAGCCATTACTGGATAATCTATATCTTAATGGAAACTGGGATTATAGAGTAAAAGGAAATATTTCCTGCAGATCACCTCCATTCCCAATAACTGGATTAACTATTTCTTTACAAAAACGGAAATAGTTATTTAATAAATTCAGTGTTGGCTTGTTTACATCTCTGTACAGTTTTAAATATGCTTTGTAGTGTTCATTTAGAGCATCGTGCAGCTGTAAGCGTGCTTTTCTGATAGCTCAAGCTATGTATAAGATATTTTATAAACACTAACTGGGGGCTTTCATTTGAAATATTTTTCCCATCACCATAATATGGAAGACATATAGAGGACTGCTAATATTTACATGATCCTAGAGTTCTGGATAAACAGGATCTTAGAGAGCATATTTTTTCTTTAATATCCCAAATATGTCTTTAACATACCAAAACAGAAAGGAATGAAACACTCAAAGATTGACATAAATCAGCAAATCATTTCAATTCCCAAAAGCATTTCCCAATGCATCTTCACATAGCTTTGTGATGTAGACCGTCTAATCCAGTGTTTTCCTATGTAATCAGCTTTGTCTAATGATTGGAGACAAGTACATTTATAAGATGTACATCATGGGTCGTCAACCTGGTCCCTACCGTTCACTAGTGGGCGTTTCAGAATTCCAGGTGGGCATTTCAGAATTCCAGGTGGGCGGTAGGGATTTCCTCATTTGGATCACTATTTGCGGCCCTGGCCCAGGTGGCAAACTGCTGGGGCCGCTGTCCAAGGGGTCTATCGGGTGGCCCATGCTGTCAGGGCCACCCGATGGATGTGTATTCTGAGGGGGCCCGGTCAGCGCTGGGCCGACCGGGCCCCCTGTGATTACATCACAGAGCTGGGAGGAAGTGACTGCACGTCACTCCTCCCAGCTAACACTGAGAGCCGCGCGGGAGGAAGACCAGGGAGTCAGAGTGGGAACCCTGACTCCCATCCACCTGAGCCACCACTGGACCCCAGGGAAAGTCACCCTCCTGCACCTTAAAGGTAGGACACAGGAGGGTAACTTAAATATAATGTGTGTGTTTGTGTGTGTGTGTGTGTGTCTTTGTATGTATGTCTTGTGTGTGTGTCTTGTCTTTGTATGTATGTGTTGTGTGTGTATGTGTCTTTGTATGTATGTCTTATGTGTGTATCTGTGTGTATGTTTGTATGTATGTGTGCCTGTCTGTATGTATGTGTCTTTGTATGTGTGTCTTGTATGTGTGCTTGTCTGTTATAGTGGGCTACCTAGCTCAGCCTTCCTACTGGGCATTGCGATAAGTAAGGTTAAAAAATAGAAAAAAGGGGAAAAAAAAAGTGGGGAGGGGAATTGAGGAGGAAGAGGAGGGGAGCTGACGCACAGATGAGAAATCATATTATGCGCAAACAGAGAAGTCGTCCGAATATCACCGAAAGAGGCGACCTTCGTTTGTTCCTTACGAAAATCGAACCAGATATCAAATATTTAGTCTCGCAGCATCAACCTCAAGGATCTCATTAATCACTAGTAAAGGTAATTTCAATTTACTTTATTGTTCTCTCATTAAACTTTATAAAGTTAAAAACATTATAAACATGCATTAAGTAGAAATAAAAAGATAAATGTACGTACATTTATTTTTTTTAAAACACCCTCTTTTCTAAAATATATTCTGCACTTGCGCAAAAACTGGTGGGCGGTAAGGACATTTTTCCATTAAGAAAGATGCATTAGTGGGCAGTAGGAAGAAAAAGATTGACTACCACTGATGCACATGGTCCCACAGAGGATTCTGATTGGTTGGAACATCTAGCCAACCAAACACACTGATTCTCTGTCTAGAGAGATCCAGAAATGGGATGTAATGATGACGCCCAAATACGGTTGTTTTGAACAGTCAATGGACTATTAATTTGTCTTCCATAATGTATCATAGCCATGGTAGCCATAACATGGTAGCAGCAGCAGGCTCAATCTTCCTCAACTGAGACCCACTGATTGTTACTGGGTCCAGGTGATGAAAAGAGGATCTCTTCCATGAACTGGCTCTACATAGGAAAAAGTATGTGAGGGAAGCACAGAGTAGGCAGATACCAATTAGGGTTGCAGTGGAACCCATTTCTGGGTCGAAAAGTAGCAGTGTTCCCTTGGTTTCAATAAATGTCCCTAAAAGCATTGGATCGCCTGGCCCTCTTCTTTTCTACTGGTATCTACACTTTGCTGGGCTGGTGCCAGCCCATGGTCAAGTTGAGCACTCTTTCCTTATGTGGATGGAGTGCAGTTCCTACTGTTGAATTGTATGTATTCTGTCTGAGAGAGAGAGAGAGAGAGAGAGTGTGTGTGTGTGTGTTTGTGTGTGTGTGTATAGTACTGTGCACTGTGTATAGCAGTATGTGTATACTGTGTCTAACTGTGTTTGTGTGTAGCAGTGCACCATTGTATATCAACTTTGTCATAAGTGTCTGCATAGCAGTGTGTGTATACTGTGTGTGTGTGTGTCATTGTGTTTACACGGTGCATGATTGTGTGTTTGTTATTGTGTATAGAGCAATGTCTGTACACGCCATGTGTAATGCAGGGGGGTATTCTGGTTTCATTACCATAGACATGCATGTCTGCAATGGACATTTGCAAGTGGGAGGAATTGTAAGGATCTGCACCCTGGCATCCGTGACCATAGGATCAGCCCAGCGAGTATTTTTCAAAAAATTAATGAATTTGTTTATAAAACAAAAAAAAAACAACAACAAAACTTAGAGAGTATAGAAGAATAAAGTTGACATATTAGAAGACAATGACTACGTTGTCTCTTCTTGCGATTTATGCAGTTGATATACCTGATTCTATATGTTATGTTGTGTTAATTCTCATAAGAAAAACACAAATAGCCATCTCACTCAATGCTTACTTATCACCAATGAGCGCACGGTTATTTTAGCTTCCTCCAAAATCTGAGACTGGCTTCTTTGAGTGTAGCCAGATGGTCCTTCAAGCTTGAGATTGTCTTGCCAAAATCATTGTGGAAACAGACAGATTTGTTTACTAATTTCCCATTAGCACATTTTTCTATAGCCCTGTTTCAGGACCTAAAATAGAATCCTCATACAATTTTCAGTGTGTCCCCAGTGATTGGGCCATATATTCATCATGAACTCGAGAACAGCCCACGATATATTGTTTACTTTTGGGGAGTTGTCTTTTTTTTCATTCTTCATTTAAACACCTGGACCAAAATGTGTGCAATCCCTACTCTCTCAAGATTTCAATACACAGGTAATGCAGTATGGCAGGATAATACTAACATAAAAGTGAAAGGTTACCTGCATTGTATGTGAATGTAAACATTGCAGCCAGATTACACATCAAGCTAATAGTCCCAAGGAACAAAGGTATTTCAGGTGTATAGTATCCCCTTAAGGACACAGCTTCAGAAGCTTGTCTTACGCTTAATGACACAAGCAATTTTTGCATTTTCTTGCTGTTTGCGTTCAACTGCAATTTGCATCTCTCTCGTTTATTGCACCGACACATATTATATACTGTTTTTTAAAGGACAGAAGGGGCTTTAATTTGATGTAACATATATATATATATATATATATATATATATATATATATATAAATAAATGCTTATTTATTATTAAAAAAATACAGAAAAATGCAAAAAAAAGAAAAAAATTGTGTTTTTTGTACAGTTTTTGCAATTATAATGTGTGCCTAATTAGTACAGGTTAAAGAAAGTAATTAAAAATAAATTCATTTAGTTGTTCTTATTTATTGAATATATAATGTGACTGGGATTTTAAGTTTTTTTTGGTAGTTACAGGTCACAAAGCACAAGGAGTAAACTAAACATTTAATGTGGAGCGATTTTAGAATTTGGTATGTTTGTCTTGTAAGCTTAATAGACATAAAAGAAAACAAAATTGCCACACAAAAGTATATATTTATATAAAGTAGACATCACAGGTTATTGTCCTAAGGTTGTTTTGACACTTTCTATGTAGCCATTTCACCGCCAAGCTCTGCTAAATATTGGAGTAAAATTTAGTTTTTGGGATTTTTGGCACACAAACTTATAACAAAGAACTTCTCATGTGTATTTTGTAAAGTTGGTGTGTGCTATTCGTGTACAAAGTTTTATTTTGTGTTCAGTTACTTCTGCTGAGTACAACGATACCCACATTGTATGTGTTTGGCAGTATTTTGTGAAGCTACAGTGCCATATAGGAGACCTGTCCGTTTCAACATTTACAGTAGAATTTTGAGAGGCGGATTTAATGGGCCTATGCTTCAATTTGGGGTATTATAGCAGTTTGACTGTTCAAAAAAAACCACAAAGGCCTACCATTTGTAAATGTAGACAGTCCAGGGTATCTCATATGGTGCATATTGTGCCTTAACATGCCCCCATTCTTTTCACCAATAGATGCCAAAGTATGTGGGGCCTTTTTTACATACGGATTACATTTTTGCTGGGCATTTTGTACATTTCATATGTGCCACTAAGTTCAAACACCCCAAATTATGCTCAGCTAAGTCTTCTGAGTAAAACAATATGCCCAATGTATGACCTAGACACTATGTTGTGAAGTTACACTGCTGTAAAAGAGACGTGACAAGTTCAGGTTTTTAAGTGTGAATTTTCATGGAGGGTTTTGATGTGTCTGTGTCCCACTTTGGAGCACTTGAGGAGGCTACATATTACAACTACACCATAAAGGCATACCATTTCTTAAAGAACACATGCCACGGTATTTCAAAAGGCATATTTTGTTTTAAATAATTTTATTGGTACATAGGAAAAGCAGTCATCCCACGCAGGGGAGGCAAACGGACCATAATAAACTTTCGTCATAAGCATATGCCACAAAGTGCATTATATATCGAATTAGAACAGTCAAGGCCTAGTAAGGCAGAAAGGTTAAAGTATGTGAACACAAGTAACATAACAAAGGTTAAGCAAATGTCATATTGCACATCCGTTCCAACATTAGCAATAATGGGCCATTCTCTGTATCCTATTTTGCAGTCGGCATATGTTAGCAGTACAATATTTAGCTAAATCTGAGCCTAGATATTTGCACAGTTGTCTACGCTGA